TTTCAGACAAATGCAAGGACATAAAAACACACATGCCATGTAACCAGGGTTGGAGAATGTCAGGAGAGACGTCACCCGCAGGCAGAAAAAAAACTAAATCTATGTTGGCCTCCCCTCGCTCCTCTCTGCCCCCTTTGCCTCCCCTCTGATCCCCGCTCTATGGTCAATCAGCTCCAGGTTAAAATATTGCCCTGTTGGATTAGGCATTTGTATATATGTGTGTGTGTGTGTGTTTTCTACAGACCACTGGACTGTGATGGGAGTCAGTTAAAGAGTAATGTAGTGAACGACCCAAAACATTTGCACTTCTGTTGAACTTGAGTTTTTTTCACTGACATATATTTTCTCTACTCTTATGGTGACATTTTATTCCAGACTTCGTTTCTTTCTTTCTTTTCTTTCTTTAGATTGTCAGAGTGACCATTTTATTACCCTGTTCATGTCTAATTTTTTTTCATTTTGTCTCTTCATTTTGATCATTTTCCCTTCTTATCTCTAGAATTCAGAGTAAAAACACTGTGAAGCTGAGGTCTGAGAATTGAATTGAATTAGAGTAAAAAGTCATTCTTCATTTGTATCTGACACGATCTCTCTCCTGTTTCCCTGCTGCCACAGGAAGTCAGCCAGGTTTTTTTTCTTCTGCTGGTTGAGTTGGAACAAAAGTAAAACTTCACCCTGATGTGAAGGTGAAGAGAGAATGTTCCCACTGTACACTGATGGAGACAGAACCCGCACCTCTTTTATTCCAGCAGGGTTGATTCTCCGCCCTCTGTCTGTCTCTCCTCCGTCCTCCCCACATATACATCACCTCCATCTATACTGGGACTCCATATATCTGAGGCTCTGAGGGTGTGGAGGTCCCGCCACATACCGTGTCTCTGTCTGCAGTCTCCATGTCAGGAGCACTGGAATCTGCCAGAGGATATTTAGGATTCTTGGCCACGCCCCCAACATCCACAAACAAAGAGGAAATGTTGCCCATGGAAACCAGAGCAGATCCTCGGAGATGTGATGAGACCAGTTCACTGTCGAACTGGAGACCTGGGTCCAGTCATGAGAACTGAGCATGGAGGGGTGATTACAGTGGTGATAGATGGTCTGATGATGATGGTGATGATGTGATCAAGAGCGCCCTCTAGGCTGACCCTGAAAAGTCCTCTAACATCTTATTGTTGTACTTTTCCCATTGAAACGCTCACTCTCAGCAGAGGAGGAGAGACACTACTGCGACCTCAGGGAAGAAAAGTGTGTATGTTCATGTACTTGTACATACAGTGCATGTACAGTATGTGATGTTAAAGTTTGATAGCGATATGAAAGACCACACACACACACACACCAAGTGTGTCTTATAAACAGTGTAAAGTCCAAACACAGCTGCAGAACAGATGGTCCAGAGGAGACATGAGACAGATGAGGACACTGAGGCAGAAGGACAAACCATAAAATCCATAATAGACATGATTATTTAAACATCAAAGTAGTTTTTGTACTAGTTAAATTTTTAGTTTGACAGCTAACAGGTGCTAATCAGAAAACTTTAATGAACATGTAGCTACATTGAAGCTGTGTTTACTATCAATCTATAAGTCTGTTGAAGTCGTTCTGTCCTTGTTGTTCTGTGAAATGATACAACCTTTTGATTTGATGGACAGTTTAAAGTCTAACATCTAGTCATGCATGGGCTAAAGCTGAAGATTTGTTTAAATTTCCAGCTCGACTTTTTGTCATATATTAGCTCACTGTAATTAGGGATGCTACAATGCACCATGAGTCCTTTCAAAATGGATTCAAGTGCACGGTGATTCACATCGATTTGGGTTTGAAAAGAACAAAAGCCTGTCAGTTTGTTAGAATCTCCGTACTCTGGTCGATGTCAGAGGGCGACATCTACATCTACTATTAGCACTGCTGCTAATAAACCATGGAGGGCCTGCAGGGGGTTTCCATCGCTCTCATGGCGGCACAACAAGGCACGGCAGCACTGTCAGAGTTTTCACTCTGGTTCTCAGAACCGTTCTCAGTGAACGTTAACGCTAAACTTAACTTTCGACTCAATAACGTTCCCGTGTGGACATGTCCTCAGAGCTTGAGGTTCAGGTGGAGGGCAAGTGTTCCTGCTCCCTGATATCGTTGTTGTTGTTCTTCCTCCTTCATCCTCTCCTTTCACGGCTGCTGACACACTGAGTGACAGTCTGTGAACAGAGAGAAATCTCCGCAGTGAAAAGAGAGCAGGACAGCTGCAGGGTGGAGGACTGAAGAATTTAAACAGAAACAACAGTGAAGACCTTAACAAACACCACAACCATCCTCTTCATATCGCTGCATCTGTGATATACAAAGCATGCACTCCAGTACCATCATGCATCACTTCACTGGTGGGCATATACAGTATTTGTAAGATGAGATAAGATCAGCAGATCCTATAGGAATGAAGGGACAAGTTCAGACATCAGACCTGGGCCTCGGAGCTGAAGCCATGAAGCTCAGTGGAGATTGATGGAGGCAAAATTGAACAGGGGCTGAAAGACACTTAGGCTGGTGGTGATGTAGAGATGACAGAGTGGAATCAAAAAGTCATGTGACGTGTCTGGACCTGTCCTCTCACTGTACATCTCACACACACACACCTAACCAAATCCAGTCCACTAATAGAAACATGTCTCTGAATCACTGGATATGGTCGGATGTTTCTTAGCTGCTGCTCACCTTCAGCTATTATTTTAGCTAACTCTTAGCTTTTCTGGTCTAACGGTGATGAACTTTCATCATAGTTCTCCATCATAACAAATCTTTGTGGTTAGGAGATAAGATGAGAAGTCCTTTTATATACACGCTATGCTAACATTTAGATGTATACGGTTTCACTATGTACAGTGTTAATATGTGTCTACATTTACAGCTCGTGATGTATACGGTTTCACTATGTACAGTGCTAATATGTGTCTACATTTACAGCGTTTGGATTATTTTGTACGGTCTTTGTTTATATTTTGGCTTTCTATAAAATGTTCAATAGGTAAAGAAAATGCTAAAGTTGTGAAATTGTTACTTTTGGCTAACTTTTTTAGTTTTTTTTTTTTAGTTGTGGCGGTGGCGGGGGGTTCCGTCTCACTTCACCACGTGAAAGTGAAACAGTACCACAATCAGCGACTTCTTTTTCTCGTCCCTTGTCTTTCCCTCGGGCGTTTGGTGCCATGACTGTTCCACCATATCGTGATGCATTTTAAACTCTTGGGCGTGGACCAGGGATCAGCGCCCCTGCCCTGCTAAGATGAACAATGGAAAATGACACAGATTTGTTTGGAGGAGAGTGTCTGAGGATAAAATGTCAGAGTCAAACCTGAGACGCAGACAGAAGCCCGTGCTTTCTTCATTATCTTCAGTATTCTTCCAAATTTTAATTGTTACAGACTGTAGGTTTTTGACTGTTTTTTGTGAAACAGCTTTTTTTCCTCCTCTTTTTCTCCTTGTGTTGTTGTCCGTAAAACCTGTAAGAAAGTGTTTGCAGGACAGTGGACTCTGTGTCTCAGGATAAGTCAGGTCAGCTGAGCTTAAGGCAGACTGCAGACAGCCAGCGCCCCCTTTCTTTATATCTGAGTCTTAGCACAAATCCTAGGTCTGTGTTCAACAATTAGTTTGTCCCTCCAGGCTGCTGTAGAAACACTGCTGTACTATCCTTTTGTCTCTGTTTATCCACAGCATGTAGAAACTAGTTCCAAGAACAGGAAACGGTACCAGAATGTGCATGAACTCTCTGCTGCCCCCCTTTGTCAGTGTGCTCTGTGCTCAGCTCCAATCCTCTTGGGCTCAAGTTTCCTCTGCTCTGTTCTAAACTCTCAGTTCTAAACCTTTTTCCTTAACTACTTCCTGGACTTGGTCTCTTCTTTGTAAAAAGAATGAAATGGGAAAAAAGAAAATACAGACACAGGGCCGCCATGTGTTAGATAAACTTACCACCATACACTTTCAGTGAACCACAGATGGCCTCAGTGTTGTGTTTCAGACTGTCTGCTGTGGTGAAAATGAAAAAAGGCACGAGGCCTCGCACATGACCTTTTCACCCCTTACCCCTTCCCACTCTTCATCTCCCAACAGTCCGCTCTCTTTTGTCCCTCCTGTCACCCCCTCTGTCTGGCTGACACAGTTGATCAGGTTGACATGACAACCATGACTGTGGAGTTGAACCCTCAGCCCTCATGTTTCCACCCACACGTCAGTCCAACATTTCAATCGTTTATTAATGATCACATTATTGTCGCCTCTTAATTAAACGTCACCTGACTTGAGTCATTCAACGCCAAAAAAACAAACAAAAAAACACTTTTATTGGATCTTAGCAAGTGCTGCATGGCCTTTGATCTCTGACCTCTGACCCACCTGTGACTACCTTGTTGAATGTTTTTCAGCAGCTCACGCACTGATCATGAAAGCACTGTGTGATGTTTCTTCATCAAATCACCTCAGGAATATGAAACCAGTCCACTGGTGTATAAACTGTGGTTCACCTGGAGTGTATACTGCACACACACACACACACACACACACACACGTGCATACAAGCTGCAGGCATCACTGAGAAGGAAGGGCAGATGTTAGCTGCCTACCAAAGGAGACAGTGACTGAAACACTAATGATAAAATCAACCCCCACCCCCACCGTGATTTTAGCTGACAGACCAAACCTTTTCAGATCAAGAAGCAGAAAAGTTGAAGCCTAGTTCAGCTGATATATCACAAGACAATAGGGCAGCTCATGGATTGTGTTTGTGATGAGGTGATTGCTGGTTCAAATACCACTCCTGGCAAGGCTGTGATGTCCTTGGGGCAATGAAGTGCAGCCACTGCTCCTGTTTGCTGATGCGATAAATGTGTGTGTGTTCGATGAAAAGTAAAGCAGATTTTTTTTTCTCTTTAATACAATAGAAGACTGTGATGTAAGAGACAATGTGGGTTACAGATTTGATTTCAACACCACTGATTCTTTCTGTTTTTCCACAGGGCACAGATTTGAATGAGCCGTGCGCTGGTGAGGACTGCAGTCGAGGATGTAAGTGCCGCCCAGAGAAGGGCAGCAGGGTGAGTGCTCCTGTCCACCCACAACACACACACCAATTACAGCTGCTCTAGGAGGTAACGTTATAGAAACTGATTAATACAGATGAAAAGGTTGGATTTTAGACACTAGACAAAAGGGTTAGTATTTGGAAAATCTACATTATCTCCAGAAAAAGATTAAGGCTTTAGTTTGTAAGTTTGTACACCACTCAATGTCACTCAAACATCCATAGAGAAAATCAATGATTTTAGCTCACGGATACAGGTGCTGCTGCCCCCTATGGTCAGTTCGAGGGACACCTCAAAGCCTCTTCTAGTCACTAAAGTCACAAATGTTGTAGTTACTGATGGAGGCAAAAGTCACGTGAGCTTTGGGAATCAGTGACTTCTTTTTCAATATATTTGTCATGAATTTTCATAGAATATTACAGAGTATTTTGATCTCATTGTCCAGTGACATATACTGTAGTCTGGCAACACTACAGCCAAACTACAGTACACACACACACATATATATAGATATATAGATATATATAGATAAATAAAAAAGGTGTTGAAAATATCTCTGAAACATTTTTTCGTCTGCCTCTGTCAGAATGATATCCCAACATATTGATGGCAGTCTGATAATCTGCTGCTCTCCATGAATATAACATCCTTCAGCAGTTTGATGTGACAACAGTCTGATCCCACAGAACAGCATTCCGACTCTTTATCATCCATGTCCACACAGATACAGATGTCGACCTTGTGTTTTGGGTTCCTTTCTTTTTCTTCTGCTCTGGCTGATGATGGTAGAAAAGGCGCAGCGTCTTATCTGTGTCCTCATCTCACAGCTGCTCACATTGAAGGCTTCTTTTAAGCAACGCGGCAAACTGTGTGTCGAAGACAGGCAGGCCCAGACAGTCCCCGCTCCGTCTTCGCCCGTCTTGAGAGGGGACGTACAGACAAATCTGTTCTTCAGTTCACTCTCCAGACTGATGAATAGCCTGGTCGTCAGTGGAAGGGAGCTGGAGAAAACCACACACACACAGGGAGAATAGAAGAACTGCTACAGCTGGTCCTTGCTGTGAGACAAGAGCTCTAACCAGCCTGTCAGTGTGCCAGACACAACTAGTGGTCAAAAAGTGCACACTAATAATCATGAGTCAGTTTGAAAAAGACTAAGACCCGGGTGTTAAGAGCAGAAAAGTAAAGAAAATTATTATATGATTAGTATATTATATTATAGTATATTATACTATGTTATATTATTATATTCTATTATTACTGTGAGTAATTAAACACAGGAGGGGAGAAGTTCTGTTCAAACTGGACCTACGTCACAGATTGTCACAGTTTGTCAGGAGTCTCAGACCCCTCAGCGTATTCAGGCTGTAGCTCCACCCACTTCAGTCTGGATCCAAACATCAATTACTGTCTGAGTGTAAAACCTGCACTTAGTGAATTCACTGCTGCTGTTAAAATGTCTCAGGGTCACATGACCTGTGTTTAAATGACGAGGCTGGCAGGTTATGTGACTGTAAATGGTACACCTGCTACGGTGAAATGGCACAGTCGACATCACACAGTCGACATCACACAGTCGACATCACACAGTCGTTCAGGGAGGTTATTTTGTGAGGACATGACTTAAGGACTTTACTAGAGGACATACCTTGGGGGCAAGTCATGGACTTGGTTTAAGGGTCAAGGGTAAGATTTAGGATCAGGGTCAGTGGTCTGGATGAGATGGGTGAGATTGAGGGGGACTTTTGTGTGGGTGTGGGTGTGTGCGTGAGCAGATGTGAAGATGAAACCTAAACAAAGCCCACCACCACATTTAGACCACCGGCTTCAAAAGGATGAAGAAGCTGATAAAATACCAGAGAGAGGCCATGAAGTGTGTGTGTGTGTGAGAGAGAGAGAGAGAGAGAGGAAGAGAGATGGGGGGAGAGAGAGAAAGAGAGTGAGCAAGGGTGTGTGTGTGTGTAGGAATGTTTGAGTGACAGCTTGTGACTGACATGGCTGATAGATACTTAATGGAAATGTTGTTAAAGACACTTGCCTCTGGGCCAAAGCGCCATTATAATATAATGTATGTAATGTAATGTAATGTAATGTAATGTAATATAATATAATATAATATAGTAACGTAACATAACATAATATAATGAATTATAATGAACAACCAATCCTGTCCCTCCATCCTCAGTTCTCAGTTCCTCTGCTGCCCTCATATGGCCGCTGCAGGAACTGTAAGTTCCTGAACCAGACTGACACTCTGACCTAGTCAAGTCAAGTTATTATTACTGATTTCATATGTTCCTATGATCTAATGTGATGATAACAGTACATTTATTCATATCATTTACACATGCACACACAGCTGACTACCAGAGTGATTGAAAAATCAGTCATCTTCTCTGTGGACTTTGGTCTGTGAGCTAAAATCACTGATTTTCTCAATAAAAAAATGTATATAAACGTGAGGTTACCTTTGGAGAACTGTGTGACTGTTGCAGGAATCTGTGCAAACACAGCTGCCTCACCACTCGAACACGTGCACATGGATATTTTGTTGATTGGAAGTACAGTGTGACTGCTGGAATCTTTATTTTCCAAACAACTGAAGGTGAAGTCGAGCAGAAACTGCAGGACGTTCCTTCATTCTCCACCAAAACTTTCCCAAGACTAATGTCACAGACTTGTAGTTCATGTTTAGCATCTCTCAAATGCTGTTGTCAATACAGAGATGTACTATTTGTAAACATCTAGAACTGGCGTCTAGAACTTTTGTGTGCTAAAAGCAAACTTTTCAATCTGTCCTTCTGGTGACTAATTTTTTGCCAATTTTAGCTACGTATTAAGAAGTTCTCCCCTGTAGTTTTCTCTGAACACAGTTTTTCTGTAAAATTTAGTACATTATGTTTTAAGTTCTTGTTGTTTTTTTGCTACTTGGCTAACACTAACTGACATTAGGCTAATGTTGAGCTGGCTAAATGTACATTAACATTCAGGTTTAAAAAAATCGTTTGGAGTTTCACTTGGTTGGCTATTGTAGGTATAGTTTGGCTAATTTCCAATACTGCTTGATGTATGCATTGCTAACCTTTAGCCTCTAATTTCTGGCTATCTTTTAGCTATATTGAGACCTCTTTTGTGGCTGTCTTATCTGTACAGCTAATTCTGGGCTAATAGTTGGTTATCTTTGGTTAGAACCTCAGCTGTTACTTGACTAGGTCAAAGGTTGCTTTTTTCGCTGTATTGTTTTTTTACATAGAGATTGATGTTTACCACGATTTGTAGTGAATTATAGACCAGTAATATGAACAGAGTTTGTCAACAGCAAGACTAGACAGAGTAAATGGAATAAAGTCAAACCAAGAAGAGTTCTGAGGTAAGTTTTGTCTCGTTGCGTTGGTTGTCAGGACTCAACTGTTCTGTTTCAGAAAACGTGCTCTCAACCAAGAGAAAACAAATGTGTGCTTCTATCAGAAAATCATGATTGTACGGTAAATGCATGACAACAAAACGTGGAACTGTTCAGAGGTCTGGAAGATCTGGATTCTCCTCAAAGGCCTAACCGAGGATTTTACTTCCTTCAGCCAGTTTCTTTGTTCCATGTTCTGTTTGGACCATGTTAAGAAAACCCAAACAAGGTTCCACAGAGTGCAGGCACTGTGTGCCTTTATCTGCTTCACCTCTGTGCATTACAGCAGCTTGGCCCTCAGTGAAAAGATAAGTTTGAACAACTTTTCAACCGCAGACAAAATCCAGTGTCAGCATTGTGTAAAGAAGAGTCACTGATTGCAGTCGTAGCCAGGGTCGTCTTTGATGTGACCTGACCTGGATGTCTTTATATTAGGATCAAACCTCTGACTCTCCTGCTGCCAGGACCTGCTCCTGTTAAGGTTTTTCCATGGGGACCGTGTGACCCCATGGAAGACAGAGTGGACAGCCACTAGGAGACGTAATAAAAGTATTTTTTCAGTTGTCAGAGAGAAACCAGGAAAGTCCAGTACAGGTTTATGACATCATCTCCGTGGGACATGGAGACCCGCTGTCTACTAATGGACATTTTACTGCGGGTGGGGAGGTGGGGGGTAAACAGAGAGGGGATGTTTGTTTAATGGCTGCCATTAGCACAAACAGATGATCCACGTACAGAGGAGGGGTGGGAAAACTGACCAGGACTGGAGTGAGGTCAGGGAGAGAAAGATGGAAACTTCTAGAAGGAATTCATCTGACAAATGTAAGGAATCATTTGACATTTTTATAACTGCCTTCATTTTAACATTAAAGACATGCCATAGATATAACATGACTTTATATTACATTAACCACAAATGTTTAATATATTAAAATCAAATGAAACCTTTTTAATATTGAAACGTTGTTCCACTGATGTCCCTGATGTTTTTTTTACATTCATCTTCTAGAAGATTCTTTCCTGTTCCATTTTTTTGAATGAAAAACGTATTCATCTCTGTTCCCCCCACACATGGGTCTGTCTTCGGGGACAGTCATCTCTGAGAGAACCCAATGTTCAGGAGAAAATGTCCCCTCTTGGAGACATCGTCCTCCAGTGTTTTTTTCTCCTGTCTCTATCTCTGTCCTTCAGTCCCTCTGTCCTACATTTCCTGTCTTCCCGTCTCGCTGTCCTTCAGTTTTGTTCTCTCTCTGTCCTCCAGTCTCCCTGTCCTCCTGTGCCGCTGCCCTCCCTCTTCTCTCTCTCTCTGTCCTCGGTAAAACAAACATGTCTCAGATAAACTCCGATGTTTGGGTTTGTGCTCTGATCTTTTCAGAGAAATGGAAGGAAAACACTGAGACGTTCCCATCTCCCACATTCTGCCCCTTATCTGCCGGTGTGAAGCAGATCCAGACACAAAAAAAAAACTCCAAAGCAAAACATGGTGGACTTAAATGTTTAAAATGACAGAAGTTCTGTGTAATATTAAAACCTTTCCAGCTTAATGGAACTCTGTGTGCACACTGTACCCGAGTCAGACCGTACCAGACTGAAGTCTCATCACCATTCCTCACTGATCTTGTGGCGCGACAGCTAAAATCTTCCCCGAACACAAACCCGGTGCTGAGAACAATGCCAGCGGCTGAACTCTCAGACAGCGTGTGCACGTGGGCACATGAACGCTCGTGAGTTGTTGTTTTTTTATTTTACACCACTAGTTGCCAAAGATTGTCCAAGCGAGTGCTGTCCACCAACAGGAAGTGAGGTGGGCTCACCCGTAGCTTAGCAGAACAGAATGGCTTGCATTGTTGTCTTTGTGCTGGGAGGATTTGGGTCTTTAAACAGAGCAGTCTGCTGGAAGGTGATGAGGATGGAAGTCTGGGCCTGGCTAAAGGAGAGAGTGTGAGCTGAAAAACAGCGTTAGGACTCCCAGGTCTACTGGAGCTGAGAGAACCTCAGCATCTAGAACAGAGAACGGTTTTGTAGAAAATGTCAAAGTGTGTTCTCCTGTGGTCAGAGGCTGGTGAATGCTTTTCGAGTCAGTTTTTTGAATATGAAAATGGTTGCACAAAGTTCCCGAGTGCTACAAGCCCAGATTCAGTACTTCCTGTACTTCCTGTACTTCCTATTACATCACTATACATTACTATCAATGAAATAGTCCAAGGTCCAATTTTTATTTATATTAGAAACACGTGGTTCTTGTCACATTACACAAGGTTTCTGGAACCATTCCCAGTACTACGAGCTGTAGTACTGAGCATGGTAGCACCTGTAGGTCCTAGAACTGTCCATGGTTCCAGTTGCTGGTCCCTGAAGTGAAACATTCATCATTTGATAATTCATTGATGTTGTTATGTTCAGAGGTTTTGGTAACTAAGCTAAGCTAATCATTCTTCTGCTTGACTCTGTTTCTGTCCTCTCTGACTTTAACACCTTTAATTTTGTTTGGTCAACGTTCTGGACAGGACAGGAAGCGGAGGCGTGAGAGAAAGTTTGTGCAGAGAGTGAAAACCAGGTGTGAGTGTTGGTGCTGTATTTCAGAGAGCTGCCTCCATCTGGTAGAACCCTGTCATTACTGCTGTTCTGTGGATAGCCTGAGGACACACAAACACACACACACACACACACACACACACACATGCACTGCAGTTCACTGTGGTGTTTTAAAATGTGCAGCAATTAAACCAAAGGTTTTTTGTTTTTTGTTTTTTGGCGTGACATCAGGAAAGTCAAACTCTTCAACTAACCCTAGATTGGATTCTTTATTATTATAAGTTAAAGACTATGACGTTCTGGTCATAGCCTCAGACTGGGATGAGACTTTTAAACAGGTCTGTTTTAAACAGGCCAGGGAACCATTTTGAGGCATTGTTATTGTTGTTTTACTGAAGAACAGGGTGATGGTGACGTTTAACTTTGAAAAAATGGCTCAGAACTCATTGAAGAATCTTGTCAAAATAAAAGTCTTTGTAGAACTTTAAAAAGAGGAAAGGCTCAGCTTCTAAAAAGGCCTTTCCTGTTTACAGTTCTTCTTATGATATAGCTGACAGAATATGTGTGTTTGTTTGACCTTAATGACCTTGACATTTGGTTTAATGACAGTTCTATTTGGTTTATTTTTTCCAGGTTTTTTCAGGAGGAAATATAAACTACAGTATAAACACTTGTTTAGACTGCAAGTAAATTAAAGGAACTGCAATAAATTATTATTATTATTATTATTATTATTATTATTATTATTATTATTATTAATATTATTATATTCCTGTGGTCCTTTCTCAGGGCCGTCCTGGACTTCTGGGTGAAGTTGGTCCAAGTGGAGCTGAGGGGCCCCGTGGCAGCACAGGCCCTCATGGACCTAAAGGAGAGAAGGGACACGTTGGACTGAAGGGACCATCTGGTCCCAAAGGAGACAAAGTTGGTCCTTTAAATTTTAAAATTTTACATTTAAACATGTTTAACACAATACAATGATAACCTGATTTCATTCATTTCTTTATTTTTATTAACTTTTGTTATGCAGATTCCAATTTGTGGTCATTAACACTGCAGTAATGTGTTTCTACCAGCAGTGGTTGCATTTTAAGTATTTTTTTAAACTAGCAATATTTAAAAGTTGCTAATATTTTCCACAGGGACCGATGGGAGTTCCTGGGTTCCAAGGAACCGACGGAGTGCCAGTGAGTAAAACAGTCCACAGAATATTAAGAGTATAGAAAAACAAACCAACCGTGTTTTTTTAAATTTATCTGTGAAAGTAATTTGATTTCTAAAAAGGTATTTATTAAAACAGGTTCAGATCCCATTTTTGTTGATCTGATGATCAGATTTTTAGATTGTAAACAGAGGTGATATTATTTTTACGCAGGGTCATCCAGGTCAGCCTGGAGGTCGAGGTCCAGCTGGACTGGACGGCTGTAATGGTACCAGAGGAGAACCTGGAGATCCAGGATTTGGTATTGGACCACCGGGGTTCCCTGGAGCAGCTGTGAGGACAAATAATTACTGCACTGGTTAATTATAAAAAGATGTTTAAAGGAAACTGAAGGCCTGCTGTTTTTCTCCGACAGGGGCCGATTGGGCCAAAGGGCCAGAAGGGGGAGCCACGATACATTTCTGGCAGCAACATCATAGTAAGAACAACAAAAAGAAGAAAAATAGTTTAAATGTCTGTAGTCACTCATGACTGTTATTTCTAATATATAAAAGGTTACATTTCTATATCTGAGAGGTTTATGAACTAGATTTAAACAATTTTATAATGTAATTATTTTTTATTAATTTATCGATTTAAACAATTTCAACTCACACTCATTTTAAGTAAGTGTATTTTTTTAAAATGAATGAAAAATACATTTCAATATTTTAGATCTCTCACTTTGGAATTTGGTCTTGCTGTTTTTGAAGAATTATTTTAGAGAAGAGAGTAACATATTAGGCATACTGCATGAAGCAGTCCTTAGCTATTTTGACCAGTAGGTGGAGCCACAGGAACATGAAGCAGAGTGCATTAGAACAGCAGGAAGTCGTTATTTTCTGGATTCTAACAAAACAAAACGTGTAAAAGAAAAAGCGAAAAGATTTACATTTTTGTTTTTAATTTGAGAAAAACATAATTCTGTTGTTTTACAAAAAAATAATATTTATTTTTAAATATATGTTTTCTACACATAAATTGTGATGTTCACTACGTAAACACAATCCGGTTCACAGTGGTTCAAATATGTACCTCAATTATTCTCCTTTTCCCAGGGTTATCCTGGTGTTCCAGGAACGGACGGGTACCCCGTAAGTTTTCATTACTTTCTCATTGTCTATCATATGTTAACCATAGCAGCAAGATGCTTTGACAGAGTATTAACCTGTGGGAAATATTCTCAGTAGGTGGCAGTAACTTACTGTTAGCACTGTTAGCTTAGCCTGGCTGAAGACTGACCGTGGACATTCAGTAACCACTCTAAATGTTTTCCCTATTACTTGATGAAAAAGTTCTGACCCAGTTTGCAGGTTTGGACAGATATAAGTATATAAAGCACCAGTATTCTTGAATCATTGAACAGGGCTTTAAACGTGTACTTAGCACCACCTACAGGAAACCCAGAGGAAGGGCGCTAATTGCTCACTGCTGAAAAAAATCAGGTATATTGATTGTCCAGACCCCTCAACCCTGTCTTCTCTATACCAGGGTATCAGAGGTCCAGACGGTCCTATTGGTCAGCCTGGTCCAAGAGGACCTGAGGGATACCCTGTGAGTAAGAGTCACTTCACTTTAGTCAATCCAATTCTTCTTTTTTCTGGATCATTCCTTGACTGTACTGACAATTAACTTTTGAAACATTTTTATTTTATTACTTAGTTGTTGCCTTCACAGATCAGGTTTAATTACTAATAAATCAAATAATGAAATGAAAAATGATATATTATTATTAACTCTGACCTGAACCTCTGCACTGCAGGGTCCATCTGGTCCTCCCGGCCCCCCAGGACCAATGGTTGGTACTTTTCTTAATATGGAGAACAGATGAAGTACAGAAATATAATGTGTCATACAGTGACATTCATTGAACGAACCATTGTTGTTTCCAGGGGAGTTCCAGTGACGGATATCTGGGAGAGAAAGGAGACAAGGTAACAGCAGTCCAAGGATACATATATCTGGGATTCAAATTCTCTTCTTACTGACTGAGGATGTTCTGGACTTGTCCCGGACTTTAGGGCGATGTTGGACTTCCTGGACCAAGTGGAACCCCCGGGGACGGGTCACTGACAAGTGAACAAACACTGACTATCTACAAAGGAGACAAGGTGAGGCAAGAAGGAGACAGTCTAGGAGACAACCCACTCCCTGGATATTTACAGTGTGGACTGATCATCTATGTGGGTTTTTTTTTTTTTTTTCAAGGGGGAACCTGGTCCCAAAGGAGTCCGAGGACTAGCGGGGAATCCAGGAGCACCTGTGAGTCCTTGAAAAATCATAGAATTATCACTGGGGAAAAATCAAAAAAGGCATAAGAGTCAAGAAAAATTCCAAAGAATGATAGGTTTTCATGTTCACTTAAAAACTCTTCCTCGCCTTCGTCTCCTCCTCTTCTTCATGCAGGGACCTTTTGGATATCGTGGTGAATATGGGGAGAAGGGGATTCCTGGATATCCTGGTGCCAGAGTAAGAGCCAATAGAACCATGTAGAACCATGAGGACTTTTTCTTCTTCTTCCTCTGCTCCTGTGCTCATATCAAATATGTCTTCTTCCTCCCTCTGCGGTGGATGTTATCTGGGGATCATCCAATCAGGGTTTCCCAGGATTCAACGGCCCGCCCGGCGCTCTAGGAAGTCAGGTGGGTGAAGCAGACTGGAAATACAGCCGATCATGAATGGAGTGAAATAAATTGTTGATTCTGGAAATGTCACAAACGTTTCATTTATTTTCTGAATGTTTTTTCTCTTAAGAATACCAACCTCTCTTTTTTCTGTCCTGACCCAGGGGCTCGTAGGGAATCCTGGTTTCCCTGGTCAGCCGGGATACATCGGACCAAAGGTCAGAACATGGTCATGTGACTGACAGCTCAGATCAGTCCACTGCTTTTTCTAACGACCAGTTGGTTTTTAATGTGTTGTAGGGAGACCAGGGAGACCCGGGACCACCAGGACCGCCCACCTATGTTAATGAGCTTGGCACCTCTGTCCAAGGTATACACACACACACACGTACACACACACACACGTATGTTCATTCCTATATTCACACTGATTTCATCTGTGTGTGTTCTGCATTCATCTGGACTGCAGGACAACAAGGTGATCCAGGTCTCAGTGGTCTTCCTGGGACACCAGGAGACCAGGGGTATCCCGGTCTACCAGGACCTCCAGGTGTACCAGGATCGGTTTTGGGTAAGTCACCTTCAGAACAACATCATTTGTAAAGAAAAAGTCCAGTTCTTTGATGCCTGACCTGTCAATCATCTCCACACTCAGATCCCTCAGGTCGTGGTGGTTCTCCAGGGCTTCCTGGACTTCCAGGTCCAAAGGGAGAGAAGGGAAACCAGGGAGGAACATCATATGGTGCTGAAGGATCTCCTGGATCCCCTGGACTGCCTGGACCCATCGGACCTCCTGGACTGCCAGGACCTTCAAGTACGTTCTTAGAAAATGGACTCAGGTCCTTTAGATGATCTGAGGTGAAGACTGAAGCAGTAGTTTACAGCTGCTGTCAGTGATCCTGGTCTGTTGCTAACTTCCTGTTCATCAGCCTGCCACAAGTGCTTTTGGATTTCAAGGAGATCTCAATTTTTAGTTAATAAGGTGAATATAGGTATGAAGGTCTGATTTAAAATATTTCACTGTTGACTTTTATTTACTGTAACTCAGTACTTCTTAACTAGTGGGTCGGGCCCCCTGGGGGGGGTGATGTACCGGGGGGGGCGTGAGGGGCTTCCAATGGAACATGGCACGCTGGACATAAGTGTACTACTGCTGTAGGTAGATGAGGTGAATATTTTCAGCTCAGACTTTGCTGTTTTGGTGTTGTATTTCACTGACAGCAGCTTTTAGTTTGTCATGTCTTGTTTGTTTGCTTGAAGTCAAATGTTACAAAAGTCACTTTTACTCCCAGAGTGGAATTCAGCCTGGTCCTGAGTCGGAGCAGACTCCGTAATACTGTAATTAACGCTAACAGGGTAACAATGGTTAAATCATAAATACCTGACTGACTTTATGTCCTCCAAGGCACGAGTGAACCCTGCGTCATCATCCCTGCCTTGCCCAAAGGTCAGTTACATGCAGGTAGCCCGGGCAGCCATTTTTCTTGTCCTCGACCACTAAAAGCAAAAAAAAAAAAAAAAACCCCGCCAACCTCTGAACACAACTTTCAGCCAACGGTAACCTCTCTGCTATCAGTGCTTTGTTAATTCTATTTTTTTTTTTCTAAATTTCCACACCGTCCTGCAGGGTGTGCTGGTAAGTATGAGCTGAAGAGAGCGCAGACTCTCAGTGGGAGCGCCCCCTGCTGTTGCTGCTGCTGCTTGGCCTGCTCTGACCTGAATTCATTGATTTTACATGGACCTTAAAGCTTGGCAGCGTTTGCTCCAGAGATTGTGTCGTTGACCTCCTGATGTTGGCATAAACACAAACTGAAAGAAAGATGCCATGACAACAACCTTCGTAGCAGCCAGAGAAGTAACAACTATGCAAAGGATTGTGGATTTCCGTCCAAAGAATTAGAAGATAGTTAACCACACAGCAGATAACAGCTACGATGTTGTTGTAGCACACATGTCTCCTGCTGCCTCTGCAGAAATCCTTGATTGTTTTGAAGATAGTTGACAAAGCAGCTGTTGTCATCATATTTGCTGTTGATGGAGCTGCTTCAACCATAAATAAAGAACAGTCACTGAGGTATGTGTCGTAGGTCATCAGGCTTCAGCTCTGAGTGAAGTTAAATGAAATGACAGGGCAGCTGAATGAAGCCTATAGAGCTAAGTGGTAGCTGGAGAAAGTTTGGCATGAAGATAGCTAGAATTAGCTCACAGATATAACATGGATACAACTTGTAATTTAAACCTGGCCCAGATGTTAAGGTTTTATGAAATTATTTTTTTATTATTTTGTTAAACATAATGTCTTTGTTTAAAAAAGAGAAACAAATAGAAACCTAAAGTAAATGTTCAAAGGAAGGTCCTGTTTCTGCAGAGTTCTGATCCTGTAGTTTGTGTTGGTTCAAACACTGAGCTGCTCTGCATGCTGCTTCTGGCCAAAGGCTCTCAGTGGTCAGAGCCCATGTAAAATCACTGAATTCACTGTTTAACCACAACAACAAAACATCAACCACTTTTTTTCAAAGAAGAAAAAAATAAGTCTGTCACCCTAACACCAGCAGCTGACACTAACCCTGATTTCACACCAGGTGTGGAGCTGAAGAGAATAAAGAAAATGTAAAAATAAAATAAAAAGTTTAATTTAAAAACAATTTAAAATATAAAATCTTCAGCTTGTGACCAGTGTGTGAAATCTAAAACCACCATAAAAATGGACTAAATGTGTGTGCACTTTTGTTTTCCTCCCAAGGCAGCATCACTAGCTCTTCCGGAGAACCTGGTTTACCAGGACCTAGAGGACCACCAGGAAACAAAGGATACAATGGTTACAGAGGTATACACACACTCACACATAAAATGATATATTTTTTAAAATAAATTTACATAATAATGTTACTTAGGATTTGAAAAAAAAAACAGATTATGAAAAACTCCTAGAATGACTCAGAAAATCAGTGATTTTAGCTCACAGAAACACAGGAGCTGCTGGCATACTGCTGCCTCCTGTGGTCAGTTTGTGTCACTGGGGCAATTCTGACAAATCATTTGTTTTCCTTGGTTCCTGTTACTTCCAGGGGACCCTGGTGACTGTGCCTGCCTGGGGGGTGGAGTCTCAGGACAGACTGGTATAGTCGGACCCCCTGGAGTTGACGGGAATCCTGGTTATCCAGGATCGAAGGGAGAGCGTGGTGATACAGGGACCCCGGGATTCAACGGCCCCCAGGGTCCAGCGGTGAGTATGGAGTTCAGAAAGTCAGAAATGCTGCTCCAAGCTCGAGTTCTAAATATTTAAATAAATAACTCTTCTCACCCCACAGGGTCGTCATGGTAACCCAGGTGCGTTTGGACGTAAAGGAGAGAAGGGGGCTCCATACTACCCCCACCTGGGTCTGACAGTGAAGGGCGAGCGTGGAAATCCAGGACTCAGGGGACCCAACGGTGAAACAGGAAAACCAGGCAGAGATGGACTTCCTGGATTCCCAGGATCCCCCGGGGCTCCAGTATGTAATAAGTCTGTGATGTCATCTAATGGTAGTGACATCACAGATGTGGGCTTGAATTGAATGTGATGGTTTTGATTCGAAGGTTTTCCCCTTTTTCTTATCTCCTGTCATTTTTTCCTGATATATTTAATCTCAATCTGTTCCTTTTTCATTTCCATGTCTTCTCTACTTTTTCCACTTTTCCCTCTTTTGTTTCCATCCTTTCTTCCTTCTGTTTTGTTCTTCCTTTTCACCCTCTCCTCTGATTTCCCTTTTTGTGCCTTAATGTCTCCTCTTCTTTCATTTCCTTTGCCTCATTTTTAATCCTTTCCTTTCTTTGGCACTCCTTCTTCCCTGTGATTTATTGTTGCCGTCTCCTCCCCTCAGGGTGATGCTGGATATGGCACACAGGGAGAGAAGGGATTCCCAGGGTTTCCGGGTCCTAAGGGTCGTTCTGGTGGTCCTGGCGAGCCTGGACCTGGTTACAGTGGAACCCCAGGTTTCCGTGGAGAACCAGGAGAGCCTGGTATTCCTGGATTACCAGGAACGCCGGGTTTGCCGGGTCCCAAAGGTTTGTGACAGTGAGGTAGAGGGGTGTGTACGTGTCAGTGAGTGTGAGTGTGCATGTACGGTAAATTTCTCTCTACAGGATGCCGCCTCAGCTATCCACCCATCCATTCATCCATCCATTCATCCATCCATCTCCACTCAGCTAATCCTAATTTCTGATTCAGATTATATCCAGGGAAAATAATTTTCCATAAACAGGAAAGTTGTAGTTCTATTGATTGGCCACCAGAGGGCGATAAGAGCGTCTTCCAATGTCGTTTTCATGTTACTTTTTGCCTTCCTCTCCTTTTCCTCCCTGACTTTCCTGCTCCTTTTCTTCTTTTTTTAATTCCTCTCTCGTGCAACTCACTTCACCTCCACTTCACTTCTTTCTTTCTTGACTTGCTAACTTTCTTCCCTCCTTTCTTCCTTCCTTCTTTCTCTCTTACCCTTCATTACTATAAAAACAAATCGCTCTCTGTGTGATTGACAGCTGGCTCCTCCAATAAGAGCCTGATTACAGGTGACTGAGGTGCAGTAGTTCAGATTCAATCCCAGATCATCAGTGCTGAATCCAGAAGCTTTGGTCCAGGTCTTATAGGCTATGATCCCGACATTAATCCCTGTGTGACTTCCTTCCTGTGTGTCTGAAGCAGGAAGTGATGTCAGAGCACTGCCATGCCTCCGCAGCAGCAGTTAACTCTACAATTAATGGTTTCCATTAATGAGCTTTTAACCTGCAGCTGTAATCTCTGTCAAGTCCGTCTTCATCCTCCCAGATCAGTATAATCTCTATCTGCCTGTAGTCTCTTGTAATGTAACAATCTCTAATATCTCTATAATCAATCATCTCTATAATATCTACACTATCTTTAAGCTTTTTTATTCCCCAATCTATATAATCCCTGTAAGTAGTCTCTGTAATTATTTCATCTCTATAATTTTAGTCATCTCTATAATAGAGTATCTGCTCTACATATAATCTCTATATTATATAGAGAGATATAATCTCTATATTATATATAACCTCTAATCTCTGTAACGCCTTCATTCTTTTTGAGCTGTGTAATCCCCTTTACTTGCTAATTTTTTTTCTAATCTCTATTATATCTGTAATCTCATGACCCCTCTAGTCCTTGTAATCCATTTACTCTCTCTAGTCTCTGTTATAATCCAGCAGCTGCTTCAGTGATAGGTGTGTGCAGTGATGAGATTGCCAGGCTGATTTAATCTGATTCCTGTGATTATTCAGTCTCACAGCTGAACCCTCCTTTATTCTTGTCTTCCCTTTTTCATCTAAGCCCATCTTTCTTGTTCTTGTTCTTGTTCTCTTTTCTCGTCCTTACTTTTATCACTCCCTTTTACTCCCAAATATTAGAAACTCAATGAAAGATGCTCCCTTCCTTTCTCATTCATTTCCTTCCTTACCTCCTCACTCCCTTCTTCCCTCATGCTCTTCCTTCAGTCCTTTTTTTCTTTACATTTTCTCATTCTTTTCTCCATCATTTTCCTTTTCTTTCTACCTGACATTCAGTTTTCCTCCCTGCTTCCCTCCTATCTCCTACCCCTCTATCAAAGCCAATTACACCCTCCTGTGCTATACTGCCACCCCCTGGTCATTTCTTCCTCATATTTAATGAGACAGCGAATACATCTCACCTCACTTTTCTAAATCCTCCCCTCCTTTCTTAGCTTTTACTTACCTTCCTGCTTCCTGTGTGAGACTGAATGACACAAAGTCTGCCTCAGCAGCAGCAGCAGCAGCAGCTCATCTTTTCTCTGAATCTTTGTCTCAGCTGCAGTGTTTAATGCTTTAATCCCAAGGTTATTGTCACCTGCAGGAGAAAAAAAACACAAGTCAGTCCTGTGGAGGAGAATAATCGACTGTTTTGGTCTGTTTGATATTTCTGTGTTCCCCTCCTGAAGCTTTAACAGATCCAGCCTTGAATGAAGCGAATGAAATGATTTTGCTGTTTGTGTTTCTATGAACAGAAACGTATTAATTTGCTTTATCAGCGCATGAACATGACCCTGCTGCCTCACCCTCCCTCCCCCTGCCCATCCTCCCTGACCTTTGACCTCTGTGCATGTGTATGTGTCCAGGTGAAAACAGCTGTGCAGGGCTTAATGACGGCGCAGAGGGAACGGGTGGGTAAACAATTTCCTTTATCCACCAGCAAAAATGACGGTGGAATGACAAGCGTATTGATCTGAGTCAGTCATGGTTGTGTTTGATCAATGTATGAGATTATTAGTTATTGATTATCAAACATGTCATGGGGAAAAAAAGATCACCACACTCAGAGATAATTAGAATTCTTCGCACTGATGTGTGAAATGCAACCTTTAGTTTTGGGTGTTTTTTTTTTTGGAGAACCACAAGGGGGAGCCCCCCATAATAAAGTCATTGTAGGAGTTTTTCATAATCTGTTTTTTTTTTTTTCAAATCCTAACTAACATTATTATGTAAATTTATTTTAAAAAATATATCATTTTGTGGAGACAAACTGTTTTAATAATATTTTAAACATTATTTATCATTTTTTAATAATATTTTTAATTTTTAATAATTAAAAAAATGACATTGGCCAACATTTTTAGGAATGTTTGTACTTTTTTGGTACATTAGCAACAATAATATTTTAAAGTTAAGTATTTATTGTAATAGCTTTAGTTTAGTTTGTGCAGCTGTCAATCATTTGTTCAAGGCCAAGCTGATGGAAGCTTCTGCCTTCTTCCACTCAGCCTGAGTCAGTGGATGATTGACAGTCCACTCTGACCATCAGTGACCAAAGGGGAGGCGTGTCCTCTCCATTTCCTCCAATCAAAGCTGCTGAAACCTACCGCATGTTTTCTGAAGCCACGCATCTGCTCCATGCTTTTAACCAATGAGAGACAGGGAGGGTTAGGGGGAGAGAGGGGCAAGTGGATAATCACCAAACTTGAAACCATTTTAATTTTCAGAACAAGCTTCTCCTGTTTATGCACATCCATCATCTTCTAATTTGAATGAAGTTACTAACAACATTAATCTTTCGCCCACGACAACTGTATCCATGATTAGAACGAGTGAATGGAGGCGACAGACAATCAATGAAACCACTGAGTCACCAAGGAGTCTCAGGTTTAAAGGAATCATTCATAGAATTTATTACGTGTTAAGTGTTTGCCTGATGTTCTGACACGTTAGACCCTGTCATAACATATATGCTCCATGAAGTCTACGATTGTATCAGAATCTGTTCTACAGGAATCCAATGTTTCAATCCTTCACAGACCAAAGTCCATAGAGAAAATCAGTGATTTTAGCTCACAGACCAAAGTCCATAGAGTATTTGTCTACACCACATATACAGTATCACATTACCAATCATGTTAAGCAGACCAGGTTTACTTTATGTAACATAAAATTATATACAAAATACTACTAGATACACACTTGTGTACTTGTGTACTGTGTGTATATACTGTACGTGAATGTGTTGTGTACATGAGTGTGTTTGTACATGTGTATTCTATGGTTTTAACCTGTGTATGACTGATGTCAGGCCAAGTGCTACCGTGCATCATCCCGGGTGAGATTGGAGACCCTGGCTTCCCTGGAATACCTGGAAGACCAGGTAAAAAACGAGATTGTTCTTAACTCAGTTTACACCCGTGTGATTTAATGTTGTTTTATTCCAGATTTAAGCTCAATATGGGAGTATAGGAAAAAACGTTAATGGTATAAAACAGGGAACAATCTCAGAGGATTTATTTTACTGTGAAGCCTCCACCTCCAAATGTTAATGGAATTCTCCCTATGTTAGGAAGAATCCAAAGTCTTTTACCTCTGGACTTTAGAACTTTTTACAAATTACATCAAATATTTTTTCATGTTAGAGATTAATTCAAAATAATCTTCTTGAAAGGACCCAAAGGTCGTCCAGGTGTTCCTGGAGATTCAGGAGGTCCAGGATATGACGGAGCCAAGGGAGAGAGAGGAGAACCTGGATTTGGAGGTCAACCAGGACCACAAGGTAGACTGAGTTGTCTGTTTTTGTCAGCTAGATCCTCGTCCCCAATATTCACACATTCATTTTCCCCTTTATAATATTACAGGTTTTCCTGGACCCAGAGGAGATCCTGGAGTTCCAGGTATCCCAGGACAGGGCTATGATGGAGGCAGAGGTAAGGATGGTATCCCTGGACGTCCTGGAGCTAAAGGCCAACCTGGAGAGGTACTGGGAGCGACACCCGGCTCCCCAGGAGGCAACGGCTTTCCTGGAATTCAGGGAGACAAAGGACAGCCTGGAACACCAGGAGGACCTGGATCACCTGGTAGGTCTCACACACCAAAACAGATCTTCTTCATCTGAACCTTTTCAAAAAGTATATTTAACTCTCTGTCTTCTGGTCCAGGTTTTGACGGGCGCTCAGGTGTTCCTGGGTTAAAAGGAGAGCGGGGAGTTGATGGACTTCCTGGTTTTCCTGGACTTCCTGGACTTCCGGGTGACCCAAATGGGGGTATCCCTGGTCAGCCTGGAGCTCCTGGAGCAAAGGGACGGAGCGGATCGTCAGGTGAGGAAAAAGACTCCTGTCCTTCCACACAGACCAGACTTCTGTTTGGTTCTGTTGAATTTTAGGAATATACGTCTGTGGAATTCCAAAATGAAATGTGTGGGTTTTTCAACAATATAACAGGGATTTGTTTTCTTCATATTTTATATAAAAATTCAACCTGACATCTGTTAGCCAGTGATATACAGTAACAATAGCTGCTGACGCTAGTCATTGTGGCTAAAGCCGATGTCAACACTACAGGCTATAGAGCGCCCTCTTCAGGGCTAATCAAACTGAGAGTCATCTATTCATCAAAGCCACATCAGTGACAGTCAGAGCTGCTCAGGTCTCTGGAGTTGTTTTTCAAGGTGGCTGTACCCTTCTGGCAAAATGGTGAAATGCAGCCTTTTTTTTAAGTGCAGTATTTTGGTGACTGATAGAGTTATTAAAAATATAAGAACATGTATTTTTTTAATCACTCCTTTCCTCACTGTTGGGTTTTTTTCACCTTGTCCTGTACTCTTCACCTCTACCTGCTCCTCCTCCTCCTCATCTCTGTCATCATCCCTCCATCCTGTTAATATTGATGTCATTCGATGTAGGCTGTCCAGGTGAGACCGTCCCCTCCCCCATTCATGCCTCCTCCTCTCCCTCCTCTTGCACCTCCTCCTTCTGCTTTTCATGCTTTAGATCAAACCACATTTGCTGCCACTAAACCCAAATGTCCATCTCAACCGTTTGACTCAGTGGTGCAGTCCATGTTTGGATGTGAAGTCGTTCCAGTAACTTCCTGATTTGAAACCTGATCATTTGTGATCCTGGAGATCAGAGTTTTCTAACAGGCTCCGGGCTGATGTGAGATGGACATGAACGACTGAAAGCATTTCAAACAGAAACATCTTTTCATGAAAACAGTTTTGTTCTCGCAGCCAGGACTAACCTTTAGGATACGTTGTCTGTGTGTGTGTGTGTGTGTGTGTGTGTGTGTGCTTGTTGTGATAACTGCAGTTGGTTGACATGGCAACCAGATGCTATTTAACATGAATGTGAGCATCTTCTTCCTCTATATTCTTAAAAAGGACTTTATTATTAAACACAGTCAAATCAGACGTTTTACATTTTGGTCCTTTCTAAGAATGTAAGCTAGCAGCAGTTCCACAGCTTTCCAGCAGGAGCAGCAAACCACCCGGCTGTTTAGCCTGACTAATTGAGTCTGCAATTGCACTTTTGTTTGGTCAGATCTTGGTTCAATTAGATGTAACTTGGGCCTGAGCACCAACAGAGGGCGACAAAGAGTGTCAGACCTGTTAATGTTAATTACTATGAAAGTTTGGAAGGAGAATAAAAGGAGGACAAAAACGTTTAAGAAACGAAATAATTTCTTAAAAGACAACTTCAGTTAACACATCAGTAGCTAAATAATTGAAAAATCGTTTTGAAGTAATTGGTAATAATAGTGAGCCATAAAAATGTATGGAACGTTTCAAGTTGTGTTCTAGGTTTAACAAGGCCACAGGTCAGGGTCAGCGGACCTTCTGATTCAAGCCTTTGTACCAACTCCTAACTCCAGTGGGAAGTGTCGTTTTAGGAAAAGCATCCAGCCGTTGTTTAATCAGACACTGCTTTGGCGCCCCCCGATGACGGTGTGATCTCTGTTCATTTGATCTAGTTCTGCTCAGAACATGTTAAAATCTCCTCTAAACTTTACCAACCTGAAAGTGCAATTGCATCCTATGAAGGTTATGAATGAAGTTCCGGAAAATTGTTTTCCGCTTCATGTTATTCGTCTGTTGCTAATATTTAAGTGTGATTAATCTAACAGACTTAGGTGAGTACATTTTTGACAAACCTTTTATTAAAAATATGTTTTTGAATAAAGGATTCAAACATTTCTGACTCTCTATTTTTCCATCATTTTCCTGTCACCATCCTTCCATCCACAGGCTCTCCCGGACAAAAAGGTAAAAGAGGAGATCCAGGATTCCCAGGACCTGCCGGCATGAAGGGAACCCCTGGACTGCCAGGAACTCCTGGATCCCATGGACAAAGGGGTCCCCCTGGGCGTCCAGGACCAGGAACAAGAGATGGAATACCAGGAATACCAGGAATCAAGGGTATGTGTGGGCTGAGGTTTAATTGTTCAAACGAATCACTCGATGGAGACTTTCACCTCTGAGGTTTGGATTTTCTGTGGTTTCCCACAGGTGAGAGAGGTTTCCCAGGTCTAACGGGATTCCCCGGAATCTCGGGCCGACCTGGCAGTCCAGGCTTTCCAGGAGGAAAAGGACTTCCTGGTGAACCTGGAAGGGGTGGATATTCTGGTGGACCTGGATATCCTGGACAGAAAGGTCTCGTTTCCAAAAGATACACATAGACAAGTGGACCAGAATAATCCAGAACCGTGGAGTTCAGATGAACATATTCCTGTTTTTCGTCCACAGGCGACAGAGGAGTTCCTGGACCTCCAGGTTCATCTCCAAGTGTTCCTCACTCAATCTTGGGAGATAAGGGAGAATCAGGAATCCCTGGAGGCAGTGGCCTTCCAGGCTTTCCAGGTCCTCGAGGTATAAACAACAGTTTCTGCTATTTTAGAACAACGTTCTTAAGGAAACCACTCACCTGCGACCTTCCAACTTCCAATGTCTGAATTCAGGGGACAAAGGTCTACCAGGTCTCCCTGGTCACCCAGGTCTACCTGGACTTCCTGGTTTAGCAGAGCAGAGCAAAGGACAGAGGGGAGATCCTGGAATTCCAGGACAGCCAGGAGCTCCAGGCTACCCTGGACCTAAGGGAGAAGCTGGAATTATGGGATTCCCTGGCATGTCAGGCGCACGGGTGAGGAAATGGACTACAAAAAAAATTCAAAAACTCTTTATTTCATTTGGTGAGATTCAGCTTAAAACTGTCTCTGTCAGGGTAATGACGGCACACCTGGTTTTCCTGGTAATCCTGGAGAGCCTGGAAGACCTGGTGGGAAAGGTGAGCAAAGAGTTCGAGTGAAGCCAAAAAGAGACATTTTTCATTGAAATGCACTTCAATGGAAATTACCAACCTCCTCTTCCTCAGGTTTACCTGGAGACTCTTATGGTTATCCCGGTGGTCCTGGTGCTAAAGGTCTCCAGGGAGATTCCGGTATTCCAGGTGAGACTTACTGGAATTGATGAAAAGAGAAGAGATGGAAGAAATGAAAAGTCTTCTAGCCTTCACCCAGAGAGATTTTGTTCTCCATTTTAATGAAGAAATACAATGGTTCTATAAAAAGTTCTGTGTCACTCAATGGTTCCATTTCCATTTGTCCTAATTCTTTCACCTCAGGTGGTCGAGGTTACGATGGTGGCCCTGGAGACAATGGCTATTCAGGAAGTCCGGGACTTCGTGGCACAAAAGGAACACCTGGTGAACCTGGAAGACCTGGAATAACAGGTTGGAGGCTAGTATTAGTGCAGGAATATTTTCAGGAAATAAAGGAAAAGGAAGCAACTAAGTGAGTTCTCTCCTGGAAGGTTCCTCTGGTTTCCCTGGACCAAAGGGACAGAATGGATACCCAGGTAGAAGAGGAGCAGATGGGTCTCCTGGTGTACCAGGTGGTCCTGGAGGATCTGGAGCTAAAGGTAAAAGTGGAACTGTTGGTGTGACCGGACTTATTTCAGAGACTGCAGCTCAGCATGTTTTATTTTCTGTAGGTTTGCCTGGATCTCCTGGTTTGGATGGGCTCAATGGTCTTGCTGGACCTAAAGGTCTCCCTGGAACTCCAGGCAAGGACCTATAACATATACAAAAACCAGTCCCAGTATCTGCTGGACATTGAGGATGAGCTGCTGCTGAACTTTTGTGTTTGGGTCCAGGTGGGAGTCTTGGAGGTCGTCCAGGTGCCAATGGTATTCCTGGGCTGAAGGGAGAGAGGGGATACTCCTACCCAGGAATACCTGGAATCCCCGGAGGCAAGGGAGAGCCGGGAGACCAAGGTGCGGACTTTGGAATAGATTAATGGAAACAATGGCTTCCAGAAATATTTGTAACTGTTGGTTTTGTGTGGTTCAGGTGGTCCTGGACTTCCAGGATTCCCTGGTAGGCCTGGACCTCCTGGTGAGTCTGTGGGGTCCAATATTCCTGGACCTACAGGAAATCCTGGTCTTCCTGGATTGGACGGAGAATATGGTAAATAAATTCCACTTTTCACCTCTGATCTTAATTTCAGTTTCCTTCCTCCCATTTCTTCACCTTCGTGTTTTTTCTCCCCCAGGTTTTCGTGGTCCACCAGGACCACCAGGACCACCTGGTCCAGGTACAGCACAGGGAGACAGAGGTGATCCTGGGCTTCCAGGCTTCCCTGGAGCTCCTGGTAGGAAAGGTGAATCGGGACTCCCTGGAGGTCCGGGGTCTTCTGGTCTTTTTGGTAGCAAAGGTAAGAAGTGACTCGGACAAAAATGACTGAACTCCTTCAGTCCTGAACCAATAACAAAAACTGAGCCCAGGGGTTTTTCCCTCCTACAGGAGAACGTGGTGAGCCTGGTTACAGTGGTGGTCCGGGTCAGAAAGGTTTCTCTGGTGATCAAGGTTACTATGGAAACAAAGGACCCAAGGGTTTGCGAGGTAGGGAACGTGAATCTTGAGTGAATTCTAGACCCAGGTCAGTGTTGATCTTCTGTGCTGCTGCCTTCTCTCCAGGTCCTCCTGGTCGTAAAGGTCTTCCCGGAGTCTTGGTGCCGGGTGATCGTTTAACAAGACCACATTTCGGAGATGTGGGTTTTCCTGGTGCTCTTGGACGACCTGGTTCTCCAGGTGAACCAGGCCAATCTGGAACACCTGGACAGCCAGGTAAAAAATGAAAATGAGTCTTTGTGGGAATGAATCCAGATGATTTTACCATCAACCAAGATCTGATCAATAAAAAATACTGTTGTCTCATCTCCAGGTCCTAAAGGTCGCTTTGGTTCTGTGGGTAAACTGGGTCGTAGTGGACCTCCTGGTCCTGGTGGGTTTATTGGTGATGCTGGACCGCCTGGTTTTCCTGGACCCCCTGGAGAACAAGGTCAGTTGGGTTTTCATGAGTGTACATGACAACGTTTTAATGTTGACATTTGTTTGACATTCCCATAAATGTCTCACTCACTTCTTACTATTCAGGACTTCCCGGTGCATCTGGTCGTCCTGGTATTCCCGGTGGTGTTGGTCGCAGCTCCAGCGTCGGCTACACTCTGGTGAAGCACAGCCAGAATTCCCAGATTCCCATGTGCCCACAAGGCATGGCCAAGTTGTGGGACGGATTCAGTCTGCTGTATGTGGAGGGACAGGAGAAGGCTCACAACCAGGATCTGGGTACAGAACACACCGAGGATTGTGGACCACTGAAGACCTATCAGCAGATTTTGATCATTGTTGGGTTTTTTGTGTATCCAGGTCAACCCGGATCCTGCCTCCCCCGCTTCAGTACCGTCCCCTTCCTCTACTGCTCGCCCAACAACATCTGCTACTACGCCAGTCGCAATGACAAATCCTACTGGCTCTCCACCACCGCTCCCATTCCCATGATGCCTGTGGCCGATGACCAAATCCGACCCTACATCAGCAGGTACCGTTCTCCACGGACATTATTTTCTCTTACTTACTCAGACCTGTACAGTGGATTAGGGTTACAGATGAACTTAGATTTAACCAAAGTAAATGTTTGCCCACATACCTTAATCAGTTCAAGAAAGGAACTACTAAAACGTTTACCAAACCGTTCCACCCAGAGATCTGGAAGATGAATTTCCTCCTCTGCTCCCGTCTGATCCAGGTGTTCTGTTTGTGAGGCTCCATCTCACGCTGTTGCCGTCCACAGTCAGGACACCAACATTCCCACCTGTCCACCAGGATGGAGGAGCCTCTGGATCGGATACTCCTTCTTGATGGTAGGACAGAGCAAATAGAGAACGGACACTTTTAATTTCTGTCTTCTTTTAATGGACTTTCAGCAGAATACATAGTGTGTGCTTGCCCCCTGCTGGACTGCAGTGGCCAGAACCAGCACAGGATGGGCATGAGGCTGACCAGGAAAAACAGATGTTTCCTCCTATAACACTAAGTTGTTACAAAGAGGAAAAAGGAGTTTATAAGCCATACAACAAAGTTCACGGGGAAAATCAGTGATTTTTATCTGTGGACTGTGGTGTAAGGGAGACGAGGGATTTAAATACACCCTGCTATAAGAGAATGAGTTCACACAGTGTACAAACATTTTATATTTCCAGCACACAGCAGCGGGGTCGGAGGGCGGAGGTCAATCCCTGGTCTCTCCCGGATCCTGTCTGGAAGATTTCCGTGCCACGCCATTCATCGAGTGCAACGGCGCCAAGGGCACCTGCCACTACTTCGCCAACAAGTACAGCTTCTGGCTGACCACCGTGGATCCCGCTCAGGAGTTCCTGTACTCGCCGATACAGGAGACACTGAAGGGAGGCCAGGAGAGATTCAAAGTCAGCCGCTGCCAGGTCTGCAGCAAGCTCTTGTAGGAGGAAAGATCAGGAAACACTTGATGGAGAGAGAACACACCGAGAGATGGAACGTGAACCACAGACTCTCGCTTCACTCCACACCCTCAAAGTTTATCTTCTACTTTTTATCCCAGTTTTAGGAATGAATTTCTGATTGAGTAGAGGAGTTGGGCAGAGAAGGAGACCCGCTCCTCTCTAGATTATCACTGACAATGGTGCTATTGTTGTTGTTTTTGTTTTCTGTCTTCTCTTCACTCTGATTACTGGTCTTTTATTTAGTGAAATTCATTCTCGGCTACCTCTGTGAGAGAAATGAGTGTGGGGGAGGAGGGAGAGGAGAGAGGGAAGGCTTCAATCAGATCCTAGATCCAGATAATTCAGCTGGCTCAGATCTGGATAAAGGGATAGTTTAGGATTTTTTTTTAAACAAGGCTAGAGTAAATGTCTCCACATACTATAGAGGAATGTCAAACATCTGACTGTGCTGGACAGTCGTTGTGTCAACCTTACAGGTGAGACAGTCAAAGAAATCCACTTTAGACCAACAGGTAACTGTTTCATTCAGACCACTAACTCTCAGTGATTTAGCTCACAGAGATACAACAGTTGTTGATCCATTGCTTCTTCCATCACTCCAGGTCAAATGCGTTGTTTTGTGACTTTGTTTAGATTTACCTCAGTGACGCAGACTGACAACAGGAGGCAGCAGTGGACCAGCTGCTCCTGTGTCTCTGTGGACCTTGGTCTGATAAGCACGATTGGGCTACAGACCTCGGTTTCCAGGATTCTTCCATCAGTGACGTTCCTTTGTGTCATTTTGTGATATCAGTGTTGTTGTTTTTTTATTTACAATAATGACACAGTGGACACTGATGGATGCAGCAGAGAGTTATGTTGAGACCTGGGACCACAAAGGTCACTGACCTGTACAGTCACATGGTAAAAAATCCTGTACTATCTCTTTAATGTCCCACATATTCAAACAATATTCAACCAGTGTGTATAGTTTAGTTGTCAGGAGGGCAAGTTATGAACCAGGGGTTAAAATTCACTCATGCAGCAGATGTTTATAGTACACAATATATAACAAACAATTTCAACAAACGAAGGCCTGCAACCAATGTTGTTAAAAATTGCACTGACGTGACCTGTCACGATCCGGACACACAAACAAACGGAGTAATTCAGACAAACAACCACCAGAGGGCAGAGTTGTTTTTGTTTGTTTTTAACCAACGTTAAAATTAAAGTTAAACCCTCACCCCTCATCCATATAAAAAACAGGAAATACACACACACAAACAAACGCACGCCCATGGTTGCTGTACAAATAGCTTCCTGCGTTAACGCTAACATAAAAAGGCCGTTATGCTATTGTTTCTGTTTTTTCTTTTTCTTTTCTCCTTTCAGTCCAAGCGTCTCTTCACTGTCATTGGATTGAAGTACAAAAAATGGTGATTTCCTAAGTCTGAGAAGTCACTTGGTGTTTTTGGATTTGTTGGTGGTTAGGTAGTTGGAGCTCAAAAGTCAGAGTTGAGAAATAATTGGTTTTCATTATTGAGCCTAAAAAGTCACTAAATCAAGTCAGATTTTCTAAGTACTCATTTGTGTTTTCTTTTCTTCTAGTTAGATCATTTAAACTTTAGTTTAACAATTCCTCAACAACAAGTCATTTTAGGCAATTATTTTACACGTTTTTGCTTCTAAGTCAGACATTTTTGCCGAGAAGTTTTTCTTTTTCTTCTCAGCATATCGTCACATTTTAAGTAACTTCAAACCTTGGGTTCATGTTTCATCATTTTTCATCCTTGGATGGTGAAAGACCTTCGGACGAATTGTAACCACTATGCCTTCTGCTGGTAGCCCTGATTGTAACGTAAAACTTTTGTGGGGTTTTTTTTCTCTTGTTCCACACATGATTTTGTCTGCGTTTCTTGTTTTGTTTTTTTTTTTGTTTTTTTTTTTTGTTTTTTTTTTGTAATCTAGATTGTAATTATTTTTACTTCAGTCATGAATAATATCCCGTGGTTTTATTTACTGAAATGGGAGAGGACTGGGGAAACTATGATTGTGTACATTAAAATATAATAAAAATGGCTATGATGTTTTATATGGAAAAATATATTCACAGCTGATGGTTGTATTTTTGTTGTTTGTTCACAATTTAAACCTGTTATTAAAGTGCCTACAGGGACAGAGAAAATGCAGTTTTTCCTCAAAGAGGACTTTAAAGACAAAATGACATAAAAACACCAATGTTGCAGAAATATGTATTTTGTGCTCACACACTCGGAAATAAAATTTGAGAAGTAACAACAATTGTCAGGATTATTTATATATTTTTTATATTTGTGAGTCTGTGTGGAGGAATCTAGAATAATGTTCTGTTAAACAACAACAAACATGTAGATATGGTCAATTCATACTTGTATTTTATTTTTCATTTGAAAAACGAAATAGTTTCATAACTGGAAATTTTACAAAAATACACCAAAACCAAAGGTTGTGTTTAATTAATTTGTTGATGAAATTTAAGTAATTGCAATTTTTAAAACGTTAACTTAAAAGATAACTTAAAGAGTAAACATTTGTAATAAGCCAAACGTAGCTGAAGAGCTTTACATAAATCTAAATATTATGACATCTCGTTACAGCTAAACAACAACAGATGGCGACAAACCCCCGTCAGGCACTGATAGGCTAGTGTAGAGCGTAGAAGAAGACACACTTCCGGAACAACAATAGTAAACATCGTTTGCACTGCAGCTTAAGAGAAAGCGATTCTTTTGTTTCTTCTGAGTTGGTACACATTAACAGGTAACATGACATTTATTTACGCTAGAACGACCTGTGATTGAACGGTTGTATTGTTTTAAAAAGTAAAATATGGACTTAAACGAGTGAAGCTGCGCGTTAGAGAGCAAACCCCTCTGTTGGCTACGTTAGCTTCACCCTGTCTACGTTTTCCTTACATACTGTATTTGGGGTAAATGCTGGATTGGATTAATTATGTGTAACATTAACGAAGGCTGTGATATTGGTACAAGGTTTTTTAATAAATAAAAAAAATTTTTTTTTCGTCCAAAGGTCTTTCACCATCCAAGGATGAGAAATTATGAAACATGAACCCAAGACTCTGAATCGAATGAGACTGTTAGCAGCGCTCATTGAAAACCAAAACAAACATAACATTTTTACTTTGAAATAAGAATCTTCATTCTTTTAGTTTAACGATTAGTTATTTCATTGAGTTTATTTTTGCTTAAGTATTTAACTGTAAAGTTGAGTATAGATGCAGCTAGTTATAGTAATATTTGAAAATAAATAGTTGTTTTAGGTAATAATCAAACATTTTTCACAGGGGATAATAACTACTACGTCATTATTCCCATCGAATACGAGTCAATAATGTATCTTGTTAATTTATTATCAGTGTGCGTTAGGGATGCCCCAAAATGACAATTCTTGGTGGAAACCGAAACAGTGAAATTGCCAATAATTAGTACCATTGCATTTATGGCTGTGACTGTGTACTACCCTCACTGAAATCAAGACAATTCAATTGAAATAAATTAATATGCACGTTTCAAAGAATACATCAATAGTTTTATGTGTACATTAAATGATAATGTACAGGCCTACTGACCTGCTGAAAGACTGTAAAATTAATTATGTTCTCTTATAAAAACACAAAGTGCATTTATGTTAAGTTTGTTTTAAATTTTTCTCTGTAGGACTACTACAACAAAGTGTATTCAGAACAATTGCAACTGCTGATAGATATGATATATAGTATTTACTACGCAGGCCTGCAACATAATAGTGTATCAAATAGTGTATTGCTGTTGGTCGCGATTTCTGCACTCTGCTGTCCTCCAGCGCTGTGCACATCTTAGTTTTTAAGCAGGTTCTGGATCATCTTTTGTTCACGTTGTTTTTCTTACTAAATCCATGTAATCCTTATAATACGGATCAAGTACAGTCGCGATGAAGTGCAGTGGATCCGTATAGATCTCAGCGTGCTGGCTGCAGTTTTTGTATTTGTCATGTTGAACTGTTCCTGTTGAACTTTTGGGCCATTTTTGGCTGCAAATGTTCGGTGGCAAAATATTCAATGCATCTCTAGCATGTGTAGAAGAGCCAATACTTGCTTAGTCGTAGACAGTCTTGGGATGGTAATACTTATATGATTTTGGCAAATTCTTGAGCTAAAACTTAGCTGCGAAATAATTAAATTAAAGGCATTTTAGTAAATTTATCCTTCAGGTACTGAAACATAATCAAAAAAATAGTTTTTGACTTTTGCTCCTCCGCTGCTTGGTTTGTAATGTTTGTCGGTTGGGTTGCTCACTGTCTCCTGACCCACAGGTACGCTGGAATTTTCTGACACCCACTCCGACATGTCCTATGTCTTCATCAACGACTCGTCACAAACCAACGTGCCTCTACTGCAGGCCTGCATCGATGGAGACCTGCCCTTCACCAAGAGGCTCATGGAAACAGGATGTGATCCCAATATCCGAGACAACCGCGGACGGACTGGTATGCATTTAGCGGCTGCCAGAGGAAATGTGGACATCTGCCGCCTCCTGCACAAGTTTGGAGCTGACCTGCTGGCCACAGATTACCAGGGAAACACAGCGCTCCATCTGTGTGGACACGTGGATACCATCCAGTTTTTGGTGTCCAATGGGCTTAAGATTGATATCTGGTGAGATCTGACGTTTGACGAGATGACTTTACAGCAGTTATGTCCGATATTAAATTTTTGTTGATATCCAATATGCCTATATTGTCTAAACACTTAATTTTTGATTCCGATAATAAACCGATACTGATATAGGCCTGGTAATATTTATTTGTTTATCTGTACAAACCACTGTATGAGTATGATGTTAATTAAATGAGCTGCAATGCTGCCATCGAGTGACTTTTCACTTGTGATTTGGACATTTTTTATCTTATTCTTAAGCTTTGTCTCTACTTGCGTTGGTTCATCTTTGTTTATTGCTGCGCCTGACCTTTCATGTTGTTGGTTGTCATAGTAACCACAATGGCTCAACTCCTCTGGTGCTGGCCAAGAGACGTGGTGTCAACAAGGATGCCATTCGTCTGCTGGAGGGTCTGGAGGAGCAGGAGGTGAAAGGCTTCAACAGAGGAGCACACTCTAAACTGGAGACCATGCAGATGGCAGACAGTGAGAGGTAAGACCCACGACCACAGACCACCACAGACAGGGGCATGGCGCGGAAGTTGAATGTTTTCATTTCAATGGCATTTACTTTAGGCTATGTTGAGCAGTTCTGTTGAAGATGAAGGTCAAATGAAAGTCGACCATCAAATTGATATAGAAGAATACATTCTAAATCAGAAGACTAGACAAAGGTGAAGATGTGGGTCTACCAGTGAAAAGTGGTGATAAACCACATCACCAGACAAAAAGAAGGAGCTCATGAGTTCTAACCAGAGTGTTTGTTCCCCTCACTGTTTCCCAGTGCGATGGAAAGCCACTCCTTACTCAACCCTAACCTGCAGAGTAGTGAGGGCGTGCTGTCCAGCTTTAGGACCACCTGGCAGGAGTTTGTGGAGGACCTGGGCTTCTGGAGGGTTCTGCTTCTGCTCGTGGTCATCGCCCTGCTCTCTCTGGGCATCGCCTACTATGTCAGCGGGGTCCTGCCCTTCTCCAGCAGCCAGCTGGAGCTGGTGCACTGAGAGGAGGAGGAGGTGCTAGTGATGCTCTGCTTGCTTCCACTGCTTGTACAAACAGCACAAACGCTCCCAAGCATTCATATGAATTGTGTCCGATCAGAACATAAATCACATCCTTGGCTTCAGGTGATAGAGTTCAGGCATTTTTATGAGTGGTGTGGCTGAAAGAGGTACTGACACACAGTCAGTAGTGTCAGTGTTGTGAGCCCCCTACAACAAAAACCACAGAGACAGAGAGGCTTAAGTGTGGCTTCCTGCATGAAACAGAAATGTCACGTTTCGTTCAACCACAAAAACGTTAATCAACTACAGAAAAATCTGTAGAGTTAGTGATCGTCAACCAGCGTTCTCCTATGTCTCTGTGAGCTAAAATCACTGATTTTCTCCATGGATTTTGGTCTGTGAGCTAAAATCACTGATTTTCTCCATGGATTTTGGTCTGTGAGCTAAAATCACTGATTTTCTCTGTGGACTTTGGTCTGTGAGCTAAAATCACTGATTTTCTCTGTGGACTTTGGTCTGTGAGCTAAAATCACTGGTTTTCTCTATGGACTTTGGTCTGTGAGCTAAAATCTCTGATTTTCTCCATGGACTTTGGTCTGTGAGCTAAAATCACTGATTTTCTCTGTGGACTTTGGTCTGTGAGCTAAAATCACTGATTTTCTCCATGGACTTTGGGCTGTGAGCTAAAATCACTGATTTTCTCCATGGATTTTGGTCTGTGAGCTAAAATCACTGATTTTCTCCATGGATTTTGGTCTGTGAGCTAAAATCACTGATTTTCTCCATGGACTTTGGGCTGTGAGCTAAAATCACTGATTTTCTCCATGGACTTTGGGCTGTGAGCTAAAATCACTGATTTTCTCCATGGACTTTGGGCTGTGAGCTAAAATCACTGATTTTCTCCATGGACTTTGGGCTGTGAGCTAAAATCACTGATTTTCTCTGTGGACTTTGGTCTGTGAGCTAAAATCACAGATTTTCTCCATGGACTTTGGTCTGTGAGCTAAAATCACTGATTTTCTCCATGGACTTTGGGCTGTGAGCTAAAATCACTGATTTTCTCCATGGACTTTGGGCTGTGAGCTAAAATCACTGATTTTCTCCATGGACTTTGGGCTGTGAGCTAAAATCACTGATTTTCTCCATGGATTTTGGTCTGTGAGCTAAAATCACTGATTGACTGCCCTTGATTTCACTGCAATGAACTCTTTCACCTCAACATTAAAAAAAGCCTAAACTGTCCCTTTACAGCAGTATAGGCCTGCACTTTTATTCTCTGTGCAGTTGAACTGTGCTCAGTAAAATAAAATGAAATAAGAGGAAGAGGAATTAAAAACCGCGGTGGTGTTAAAGTCACACATAGAGAGCCCTGGCAGAAGTGTGAAGAACAAAGAGTCCTGACAGTATGCTGTACTTCATCTCTACTCCATCTCTACTCCCTGCCTACTCGCTACGTTGATGCAAACAAACACATGTACGAAATCTTCTTCTGTTTGTTTCTCAGTAGAGCGTTGTACAGAAACTCTGCTGCTTTAATCTTTCTCCTCTGTGTACCGTACACACACACACACACGTGTGTTATATATCAGATCTGTTCCAACATTGTGTTTTTGTTAAAAAGCACTTTTTTCTGTCTGCTAAATCTATCCTTTAGGCAAGTTTGTTACTTAAGGTTTGAACAGAACCTGAAATATTTTGTCAAAAAAGGCAAACATTGTCTTTTTTACTCTTTCTGTCCATGTTAATATTCTTTGCCTTTTATGTCTTTGTCTCTGCATTTGTTTTTGTTTTTTTTTACCTTTTTTAAATGTTGTCCTTTAGTTATGTTTTTTTCTCATTTAGCCTTTGTTGATTTTTTAATGCATTTTGCTATTTAAGCCTTATTCTTTCCCGGTTTTTTTGCTATTTCTGCACCTTTCTTTCACAATCTGATCTTTTTTTGTTTACCATTTTTTCCTTTTCCTTTTTTTTCTGGTATTACTACATTAAGTTAGTAAAACATAATGATGAACAATTGTCTAAACTTAGCTGAGATTCTGAAAAGAAAAAAATCCGAGGCCTGTAGGTGGCACTGTTGCCTCCAACATCAGTTAACCAGTGACGGCAGCAGATTACCTTTCACATCTGTTTGTACAGTATTTACTTTACATACTTTATCGTCTATGAACAAACATGTACGTCTTTGCTGTAATTCGAATTTTTTCCTGTGAATGATTACAACGAATAAATCCTAATTTAATGTTGTCAGTGAAAACTGTGTGCAAATTATTTTGTGTTAATTTTTATTTGGTCATGTACTGACTTATTTTGCTTGAAACGCGTCAGGTCAGCACATAAGCTGTTGGCTCAATTCTACCTCCTGTTGTCATTGTATGTCGCTGCAGTAAAGCAGGTTCGTCAGATTCTGGGTGACTGTAAGACATTCACGGCACGGGCAACCGGGTATATGACCTGTAATCTTTAAATCTGTTTACTTAGACTTCTAAAATTGAAATTCACAACTTTCTATTAATTACAATGATTTGTATCCTTACTCCTTTTGATAGATATTTGAAACTCCGCAATCATTCTGATTAGAAAGTAAAGTTTATGTATTTATTTTTCATTGTTTTAATAGAAAATGTAAAAGAAATAAGTCAAATTTCTGAAATTAATCTTAGGAATCTGCTGGAAAAAAGTTAGAACTCCAAAAATAGTTTAAGCTGTCCCTTCTTATCTGCCGTACTCCTCCTAAATGTTCGGAAACTGTTCGGGGTTGTTCGTGTGGTCACGTGATTATTGATGACGCGAGGGCTGCATAAACCAAAACAGTCGGGCTTTTAGCTTGCCGCACAGATAAAGGCAATTTTTCATTTTATGAAATGTTTTGTGTTAAAGATGTCAAACGTTGAAAAAATGAGAAATTTAACGTTGGCTTAGCCGAGCTGTTTTTGTGCTACAACATGAATTTAAGAGGACTTTTCCAGGACTTTAATCCCAGGTAACGATAGCACCACAGCTAACCGCATTAGCTGCATCAGCGTCAACCTGATTTTTTCTTTATTTTCTTTATATTTTAAAAAGTTTTTATAAATTTAAAGTGAGTTAAATGATGAGGAAAGGGTATGGTACAGTTAGCTTTCAGCTGCCACGGTTCGCTCAGAATGATACAGCTTTTAAAAGAATAAAATGTCTAAAACAGGCCTGGCTAACATGTTAGCTTCAGTCATTTCTATATACTTTATTAATGATTTTCTACAGAAAAAAGTAACTGTTGTTTTTCCGAACATACACTTAAATTGTTTATTTTGAATACAGACCAGTACACTTCTAAAATCTTTAAATTAGAGATCCCATACAGAAACTGGCTAAGATAAATATTGGTTTTGTATGTGTGTGTATATATATATATATAATGTGAAAAATAGAAATATATGTATGTATATACACATTCGTATATATGTTCGAAACTTTTAAATACTATTTAATAATATATAGTTACTACATATGTTAAAAATAATTATTGGTTATTTTTTAAATAGTTAGTATATAGTCTCTATATATAAACCAAAATGTATACAAAACTGAGAGACCAAAGAATTATTATTTGCATTTCCTTCCCTAGAATTCCTAAAATAAGGCAAGCAATAAATTGGATACAGTGAAACCACTATAAGTAATTAGCCATAAAATGGTAAACATTAGCCAAGAGATAACTAAAACAAATAATCAAAAGCTAGCTAGAGTAAGAAGTAGCAGTTTGTCCAAAGTCACTTGCTTCTGTCTTTTCTGTGTCTGTGTACCTAATTTCTATTTTTTACTGTTGAAACGTTGTTGCAGTAAGTTCCTGATCTACTCCTGTCTCCTGCTGTTTTCCGTGCTGCTCTCCCTGAGGCTCGATGGCATCATACAGTGGAGCTACTGGGCCGTCTTCACACCCATCTGGCTCTGGAAGCTGCTGGTCATCTTTGGGGCGTCGGTGGGCACCGGTGTGTGGGCCCACAACCCCCAGTACAGGTACAACATTTAACAAACACTGTAGCCAAAAAAACTGTAATTACTTTATCCTCTATTTATTATTATGTACAAGATGGTAAATATATATATATATATATATATATGCAATGTATAAAACAACACCTTCTGTGAGCGACTCTCTTGCACTGTTCTGTTTGTATTTACCTTGTTGACCAAATGCCTCAGCGAGTGTTGACTGTAGGGAGGGACACACAAAATGGGTTAGGTGGTTGTGTTTTATGTAGTGTTCATACCAAAAGAAATAGGTGTGGAATGAGCAGCAGTTACAGCATAAAAATGTTAATGGTGCGATAGCATGGGATTTACTCAGCTACGGTGCAATTGAAGCTTCAGATGTGACGCGTATTAAGTAGATAAAAAGAAAGACATCTGAGGCAGTGCAAATGAAGTTGGAAAAATTGCCTCTTGATTTTGGCAATAATCAAAATCACGACTATTTTGATTCTTATTGTAATCACGATTATTTAAAATGATTATTCGTTGATTTGAGAATTTGCTTTTATTAAACTTTAGTGAATGGTAAAGTGACAAAAAATAAACTAAGACAAAGTAAAAAATATATATAATATTATAATTTGGGGGCGGGGGGCTGTGTTCTGCTGTTCCTCTCCATTTTCCTGGGTGTCTTGAATGCACCAAGGTATAGCGCGCATGTGCATTTAGTTTGTTCTGTTGTTGGGAGCCAGAGGGGATTATGCCAGGTTTTCTGCATCAAGTGGTCCGTAGGTTTTAGCGTGAGCTGTGGCCAACAACAGCATCTATGGACTCAATGGAAGTAAACCACTTTCACATGACAAACAATCATTTCACTGCTGCGCTACAGTATATATCCATATAGTAAATACAAATAGATATCAAAAACAATGTGGCAGCGTACTAGTAACAAACTGCAGCACAATCTAACAAACATAGATAGAATGATTAGCATATATTCAACTTCTTCTTCCTCTCTCTCAAAACATGCTGAAAGTGTAACTGCTGTTTGTGTTTAGAGGGTGGGGGGGCAGTGCACCGCTGTAGTTTGTACTGCTACAATGACATTGGTACATAATCATTTGATTCTGATTGTCTATTTTTCATTATCTGGGAATCCAAAATCGTAATTGAAATCAAATTTCGATGAATCGCCCAGCCCTGCTGCATGCAGGCATATGATTTTTATCTTGTGGCCCACTAAGACGCTCACTAGTGTTTCTTCTCCTGTTTTCCTCCAGAGCTGAGGGAGAGACGTGTGTGGAGTTTAAAGCCATGCTGATCGCTGTGGGCCTCCACGTCCTGCTGCTGATGTTTGAGGTCCTGGTGTGTGATCGTGTGACCAGAGGGAACTACTTCTGGCTGTTAGTTTTCATGCCGCTGTTTTTTGTCTCGCCCGTGTCTGTGGCTGCCTGTGTCTGGGGCTTCAGACATGACCGCTCTCTGGAGGTAAAGGACACACTAAAACCTGTACCAATACAACATATATTAGTGTATTTTATTTAAATAGTCACAGGGATTGATTTGGGTTAATCACGATTAATTGTGAAAAAATAAAAGAACAGTTGGCTGAAACCAGACATTCAGAAAAATGTGAAAAACACAAAAATAATTTAGCCTTAAAGTAAATCTGAGGGAATATCACTTAAATAGACAGATGAATAAAATTGTGTCATGATAAGTTACCCCCATACTCCACTGGAAATGTCAGGGGGTACGGTTACCACTGCATTTAGCTGCCATTATAATCAATGAGAGATTCCACTGTGTGCGTCTCAGAAGCTTTCCATATGCGCTCAGCCCTGGCTGGCTCCAGCGTGCTGGAAATGTAGGAAGTCTATTTCTGGTGAATGCCACATCACTCTCAACAAATCAGATCGGATCAGGTCAAATTAGATACGGTATCAGCATACAACTTCCGCAACCTTCAAAATAAAACACAAGAAGTCAAACAGCCACCAAGAGTGTCACCTTGTTGATGTTCACCATGGACGAGGAGAGACTGGTTCTTGAAGTGGAAAACCACAAGATTCACAAGTGATCTTCCACCGAAGCAAGCTGCTGCTGTGATGCTCCTGGTAGAATATAGGCTATATGGCTAGACAGACCCAAGCTGCCACTGATGTTCCTAGTGTCAGGGTTAAAGTTAACCAGAGAATGGTAAAGTTATCCCCCGTTAATAGGCAAAAGTCTGCAAGTTGGACTAAAAAAAAAAACCCAGCAAAAATCAAACACCAAATATAATATAATGTGAAAAATGCATTGACAAGTGAAGCACTGACCTCAAATATGACCTCCACATGACCTTCTCTCTGTCTTCAGTTGGAGGTTCTTTGTTCTGTCAACATTCTTCAGTTCATCTTCATCGCCCTAAAGTTGGACAAAATCATCGAGTGGCGCTGGCCGGTAAGAAAGACACACAAACACAAATGAAGGAAGATGTCACACTCAGATTTCGGGTGCAGTTCCATTAAAGGTGCGGTCAGTAACGCTCTGTCTCATTATATTATTAAACATCTGACATTACTTCAAAGCAGAAGTCCTGTTGTACCCCTAAAGAAAAATTGTTTCCTCAAAACAATACAACAATACAATAAGTTCACATGTAAATCCATTCACAATGTAAATCCAACATCCTGCAAAAAAGTATGGATGGATTCAGGAAATGTTATCTTGTTCATATCATTTTCATAGCGCCCCCTACTGACTATTGTCACACACATCAAATAAAACCATGACTATTTGATTATTACTGAAATATCTTAGCATTTAATATAGAATAACAAGGTATTCTACTGTATATCAAGGTAGGTATGTACAGTAGGGGATCTCTGCTCCATCACTCAGTCACTTTGTACGTCCTTGACCTTTGGAAGGCTCCTGTACGACTCAGGAGGGCCGATAACCTCGTCTGTTTCTAAATTGTGTCAATACTTGTGTGTGTTGTCTTCCAGGTGGTGTGCGTCCCCCTCTGGATCCTCATGTCTTTCCTTTGCCTGGTGGTGCTCTACTACATCATCTGGTCCGTCCTCTTCTTGCGCTCCATAGACATCATCGCTGAGCAGCGGCGTACGCACATCACCATGGCCATTAGCTGGATGACCATTGTGGTGCCACTGCTTACCTTTGAGGTTTGGTTTTACTTTTACTTTACATCACTAACTGTATCGATGTCTGTGAGCTAAAATCACTGATTTTCTCCATTGACTTTGGTCTGTGAGCTAAAATCTCTGATTTTCTCTGTGGACTTTGTTCTGTGAGCTAAAATCACTGATTTTCTCTGCGGACTTTGGTCTGTGAGCTAAAATCTCTGATTTTCTCTGTGGACTTTGTTCTGTGAGCTAAAATCACTGATTTTCTCCATTGACTTTGGTCTGTGAGCTAAAATCACTGATTTTCTCTGTGGACTTGGGTCTGTGAGCTAAAATCACTGATTTTCTCTGTGGACTTTGTTCTGTGAGCTAAAATCACTGATTTTCTCCATTGACTTTGGTCTGTGAGCTAAAATCTCTGATTTTCTCTGTGGACTTTGTTCTGTGAGCTAAAATCACTGATTTTCTCTGTGGACTGTGGTCTGTGAGCTAAAATCACTGATTTTCTCTGTGGACTTGGGTCTGTGAGCTAAAATCACTGATTTTCTCCATTGACTTTGGTCTGTGAGCTAAAATCTCTGATTTTCTCTGTGGACTTTGTTCTGTGAGCTAAAATCACTGATTTTCTCTGTGGACTTGGGTCTGTGAGCTAAAATCACTGATTTTCTCCATTGACTTTGGTCTGTGAGCTAAAATCTCTGATTTTCTCTGTGGACTTTGGTCTGTGAGCTAAAATCTCTGATTTTCTCTGTGGACTTTGTTCTGTGAGCTAAAATCACTGATTTTCTCTGTGGACTTGGGTCTGTGAGCTAAAATCACTGATTTTCTCTGTGGACTTGGGTCTGTGAGCTAAAATCACTGATTTTCTCCATTGACTTTGGTCTGTGAGCTAAAATCTCTGATTTTCTCTGTGGACTTTGGTCTGGTTTGTTTTAGAAAATAAAAGACATTTGCTTGTTATTGTGAACATAATTATGATTTTATTTTTCTTTGTGGTTTCTTCAGATCCTCCTGATTCACAAAATAGAGGGAGCCGACAATCTGAACTTCGTCTGTGTGTTTGTTCCTCTGTGGCTGTCACTGCTCACACTCATGGCTACGACCTTCGGTCAGAAAGGAGGGAACCACTGTGAGTGTTGAGGTCACGTGACTATCTTCTCCTGACCTGTGTCTATTTAGCACTAATAGTTTTTATATGCATCAGTTCATTACTTTCTTTAGTTATGGATAGAGCACCTGAATTAGATTAACTGTTGTTTTCCATTCAGTTAAGTTCTATTTGAATGAATCCTTCAGAACAAAAATGTTTATTTTCTCACCTCTGTATCTCTGTGTATTATCTGATCTTTTATTCAGGGTGGTTTGGCATACGCAAAGACTTCTGCCACTTCCTGTTGGAGCTCCTCCCCTTCCTGCGCGAATACGGCAACGTGTCTTACGACCTTCAACGCAGTGAAGACCCAGAGGCAGTTGAGGACCTGCCGGTCCCTGAACCGCCGCCTAAAATTGCCCCTATGTTCCACAAGAAGACGGGCGTTGTCATCACGCAGAGTCCAGGGAAATACTTTGTCCCGCCTCCAAAACTCTGCATTGACATGCCGGACTAATCATGTCTCCATGACGACTAGGCAGCTGTGGATCTGTTTGTTGACACAGGATGGGTTTTTTTGTTATCAGCTGTTTCTGAGTCGACCCCCAGATATTAATTTTCCACCTGAGGTGGAACCGTTATTGCAAGGACGACGAGGAATCACCACACTGTTCAGCCAATAGCTGGAGGGAGAGCTTCACTGTGTACATTTATCATCGACCCTGTTTGGGTCAAATGGATTCACTCACCTATAAACTTTTAAGCCGATGTTGCAACTGTGTGAACACAAGACTCTGTAGCAGCTTCGCATTAAAATGCAAAACCCATGTAATGACGACAGCCTTGTTTTCTTCGGATGGGACCAGCAGAGGGACGGAGGGACCCTGAGAAGATTTTTCCAGGATTGCTGTTCCTGTTTCTAACGAGCAAGTAGAAAAATCAGGGGTGAGGGGAGGAAACATTTTCTTACTGGACTGTCAGAAAGAAGCGAAACACCAGCCTTCACAGCAACTGTGAAGCAAAAAAGAGAGAAAATCTAGTCCTGAAGGAGCCAACGTCAAAGTGATGACATCTTCCTCAGCTCTCTTTATTTCCAAACTGCAGGGAACAATCGAAAAAGAGTCTGCTGGTGTGAGGAAAAAGTGGGAGAGCAGAGAAAAGTGGAATGTTTCCATAACAGAGGACGGAGGAGACGCTGTGTTCATCACTTCTTTTTATTCCTGTTGTTCGGTTTTAATCAAAGACGATTGTCAGGTTTGGGACCAGAGACGAAGACTTTATATGTTTTTATTTGGTTTTTGTTTTGTTTGTTTTTTTTATACGCTAGAGTTTTAACCATTTCTGTTCACATGATTCAGATTAGCTCCTTCCCCAATAACAGAAAAAACTTGTTCCACATCTGTGATCCTGTCCAAGATTAAACCTGAAACCTGATAACTTTAACGTGGTTCTCAGAGCAGATCTTCAAACACAAACACAGAGAGGCTGAACTGAACAAACCAAGTTCAAAATAATTTCTTCAAACCCAGCTGTGAGTAAAACAAGATTTAAAATCCTAAGGATATCACTGTCACTCTTTGTTCCCAGTTTTCCTCATCAAACTGATCTGGCCCACAGGTGGACCACACAACATCTGATGTCCAAAATGCGGGTTCAGTTCTAAATAATTTTCTCATCAAGCATCATGTTGTATTTTAGACCAGGACATTACATGGTCCAGATCTGGTATCTTGTCTAAGGGTTTTCAGGGACCAGACTAACTCTCAACTAGTTTGGTTGATATGTGGCCTACAGTCCATATCTATGATGTGGGTCACAAAAGCATGTAACCCATCACTATGGCTGAGTAGAGTGACCAGGCAGGTGGATGTGGCTCAGTCGCAGAGCCAAACCAATGATGTTCTACTGGGATTAAGATGTAGCATTCAGAATCTATCCAGAGTTCCACATAGACTTCTGATATGGTCCACATTCTTCTAATCCAATATGGGCCATAATAGTATGGGTGTAGGTTTGGGTTTAGAAATTCCTCATAAAAAGCATTTTATCCACTCGGCCACTGCTGACGCACCGTTTTGTTTATTTGTTTGTTTTGTTGAACTGACAGTAAGGTTTATGAAATGACAACAGGAAAGTTGTTTGATTTTTTTTGTCAGTTACCACATTAACTTTCTTCATTTGCAGGTGTTTTGATGGTTAAGACGAGGGAGTGCAGCTGCGTCCCCGCTGACTGAGTGAGTTTAATACTTTTAGTATTTCAAACTAATTGTTGTCAGAACCCCTAGAGCTGCTGTGGAGATGAAGAACTTCAAATAAGTTTGAGAATAGATTAAAAAAAGACTCCGCTGCCTCTATCAAGTTTAAATGTGTTACTGATGACTTCACTGATTTAAATCCTTGGTTCAGTTTTACCTCAGTGACTACAATGACATATTTTTACATTAAAACAGTCAACGTTGGAAACTTTAGAAAACAATATTTATTGGAAACAATAATTAGAGAATGCTAATGACGGTGGTTTATTTAATAACAAACAAAAAATAGCAGCAGCTTCAGTTGTGGTTGAGGCAGTTTGATGAGTCTTTTTATGAGAGCGCCCCCTGTGTGCAGTAGAGCTGATACACTGTCCTGCTCAGAGCTGGACCCAGGTTCCTGCAAAAACAGAAATGAAACATTTCCTTAACAAGCCTAGTAAAAATAACGGATGAAATGTCGGAATCAAACAGTTACAAACCTTTTGAGTTTTCCATATCGGACGGAGGAAAGGAGTTTCTCTTTTTCTGATTCGCTGACACACTGTTCATATGCCATCAGGAGACTGCAGGGTAGACCAAAGTAGTCGTTATACTGTAGTATTTGCAGGGCTGTGAATCCATTAAATAATTAACCCTGATTAAATTAATCTCACAATCTGTAGTAAAAAACCTTCAGGTGGACACTGGTCAGTTTTTAATCCTCTTATAAGCATTGGAGTTGACAGTGGTTTACTGCAAACTATGGAGGATGAAAAGTGCTAACAATAAATAAATATATCAAATTAAAATTGGAATTAAATATTTAAATGTGTTATTAGTTAATTTAATTAAAACTTACAATAAAAAATAAATTTAAAAGAATAAAATTAAGCAAAATTCAGCATTAAATTTCATTTTTGTTTGGTGGAGCACTGTGGGATTTTCTTAATGTCAAGTATGTGTTGTGGCTCAGAAAAAACTGTAATACACTGGTGTAGTTGTAGTTGGTGTGGATGTGGTGACTCACCTGCGTGGAGACGTGTACTGGTCCAGAATAGCTGCAGCTTTGTCTCCAGACAAACCACTGATCTGCATCAACTGTCGAGCAAACACTTCCTTCACCGTCTGACACTGAGCAGCACAGATGTGGGGCGGGGGGGACAATCATTTTATTATTATATTCTTGGTGTGACTGAAGTAAGACTTTTAGAAAGTTCAGAAGCAGAACCTTGTTTTTAACAGCTCCATGGTTAAACTCGGCGAAAGACATGAGTGAGTCCTGGTCTTCACCTCCGTCACCCTCCAGCTCTCTAGAGCGACAGGTCAGTGTCCGCTCCTGAAACACAACATCCACCCTGAAACCTGTGCATGACTTAACCCTTGTCAGACCCCTCCGTCCAACATGTTGAATGGAGGGGTCTTGTTGTTGTTGTTGTTGTTGTTTCCTTCTATCCAGTGCTGTCTCAGACTCTTGGCCCAAAAATAGACCAGAACCTGAATGAACACTGAGCCACACAACCTGGTTTTCTCTGTCGTCTGTTTACCTTTTTTAACCACCTTCTGTTAGTAACTTTGTCTTTTTTGATGCTTTACATTCACTTTTTTATTTCATTTAAACTGCAGCGGTTGGACAGGGAACACCTCATTCTTCTTACGATGCGTGCGTGCGTGCGTGTGTGTGTGTGTGTGTGTGTGTGTGTGTGTGTGAGACCTGGTAGAGTTTGGCCAGGCAGCGGGTCATGATGGTGAGGTACGCTGCAGATTCTCTGACCTCCTGGACTCTTTTTACAAAGAAGCCGTCGACCACCTGCAGAGGAATAAGACCAAATTGAGAACAAATGCCCTTCCAGTTACAACCACATGTTGAACAAACAGCTCCGCCTTGTGGACGGTCAGAGAATAGATCTGTAAACTTTTGAACGGTTGTGTATGTACCTGCGTGTTGACGATGGCTTGCTGCAGTGTGGCCTCAGGTATACTCAGGTGAGCAGCAGAGGAGCCGCATTCCTCCACCAGGTAGATGGGCCGACGGAGGCCACATCTCTTCAGACGAAACTGCATTAGACAGTAAATAAAACAAAATCTCAAATACTTGGAGTAAATATTGACCGTCAACTACCTGAGCTGAGGGATGTGTGAGGGATGTGCTGACCTTCTGCTCCCTGAAGCGTCCATCGATTATGCTGCCACACAGGTCGTCCATCCTCTTCCTCTCAATTATATAATCCAGCACCAACTCTCTGCCCACCGGCGCCCTCAGCTGACCTGAGAACAGAAAAACAAACTGATAATTCACCACACAAATTTCCTTAGACCTGAGACCAACATTGCTCCTCTTCAGGAAAGTCTTGGTTCTTACCTGGAAGAGGGGCCAGTTTTTCCCGGGCTACCCACAGGAAGTCGCCAACGTTGAGTTTCCTGACGTCAAAGTTGATGCCATTTCTCTGAAGCTCTTTGACCAGTTCCTGTTTCTTCTGGTGATTCCCACCCCTGCAATGACATCATAGAAATGAGGATCCAAACAACAATTTTGGTAACAAAAGGTACTCCTGATTTTAAGTTGCCAAAATCCAGTACAGACGATCCTCGAATTCCGTTCCTGTGGTGGGACGTAACTTGACAAAGCCATCTTAGAAATCTAGCACACCGTGACGACGTAGTCATCTGCTCTGCTCAACAATTAGTTCCAATGCTAAATTTGTTTCAATGCCATACATTGGAATAATGGAACAATTTTCTTAATACATTTACGATGTAACCACGATGTCGTAAACTGAGGACCCCCAGTACAAACATACATCTGAAATCAAATGTCCAGATTATACTGATGCTTGTTCCTCTCACCCAGTGGTTTCTATAAAGTCCACACACAGAACAATGTCAAAGGTTCCTGGAAGAAGTCGATCTCTGCGGCTTGTCCTGCTCATCATCTGTGAACTTAAATCCACGGCACTGCGGCTACTGCTGATTGGCTGTGGTGCAGAGTGATGAACCTCTGCAGGACTGAACAGGAAGTGGTTTTTGTTAAAGCAGGAAAACAACGTTTTTTAAAACATTACTTTATTACTTTATCTTCTTACTTCATTCCCTCTTCATCTTCTTCACTCCCAGTCAGATCCACCAGCCCACCACCTCCTTCCAGCTCCTCTTCATTCTTCTCGTCACTCCTGACCTGTGACCTGACCTGGGACGACTGTTCTGATGCCTCTAAACGCCTGGCCAGAGCCACGCCTTCCTCGGTCAGGGAATATCTGATCGGACAAGGACAAGAAAAATGTGGTTAGATTCTTTCACAGTGAATCTTTGAATCTGACAGAACAGACTGTCTGTGATTAGAGACTGAGTTTATTTGTACCTGGCAGGGTTGTGGGTTTTGATCAACAGGTTCTTCTGGATCAGGGTGCTGACAGAAGACCAGGCTGTGTACTTACTGCCCACTTCTGGCTACAAATAAACCAACAAAAAACACATAAACCACTCAACATGACCATAAAGGAGATTTAATTAGGAAATAAACAGTTTATTTTTCTCACCACACTGAAGGACTTGTCACAGAGAAGCTGAGCTTCTGTTTGCAGCTCCATCTTAAACATGAAACCTTTACTGCCTGGAGTCTGGAGAGGATGAAGATGAAGAAAAACCAGGAAGATGATGAAGAATGAAATGCTCTCTGTGTTTACAGTCATGTATTCACAGAAAAGTCAAACCTTTGACTGTCTGTAGAGAGTGAGCAGTACAGCGTAACCTCCAGATCTCCTCTGAGGAACATACTCCCTCTTTCTCCTCCCACCTCCTTTTGCCTTCCCATGATTCTCTGCATCACCCTTCTACATGGAAACATTGGAATACAATCACTTGGATTTATGGGATGTAGTTATAGTTTAAATGAAGGAAAACAATGTTGCCAGATAAAGTCCTGTCTTACCTGTCTGTTTTGTTCTTCTGCTGCTCCAGCAGGTGGCAGCACTGCTGCACGGAGTGAATGAATAGAAGCATTTGGACCTGGAGAAAAGACTCCATGGATTAAACAATGAAGTTGAAGCACAACACAAAACACAACACAAAAAGTCTGATATGAAAGGTACCATTCCATTCTTTAAGATAAAGTTTGACTTTTGGTAAATTGTCTTTATGAAATTTCCTCTAAAGTTTTGTTCATTTTCATTCTCATGTCATAAAAAGAAAAGTCAAAGCAACAAACCAGTATGTCCTAAAAAGACAGAGACCATCCTTCTGCTGCTCCTCACCGTTCTCTCTCAGGTATCGCTGCATCTTCTCATCCAGGATTTTGCAAATTCCATCTCCAAAGTTCTGCAGAATCTTTGCCTCCTTGGCATTTTTCAGAGGCAGTGGGTATTTGTTCAAAGAGTTGATGGCCTTGTGGGAAAAAAACAACATACACTTGGTTAAAGTCCAGGAGATGAGCTGCAGGTCAGAGTCAAACTGTTTGACTGAGGAAATTCTGATGGACTGAGATCGTTTTTTATAGTACAGTAAAACTTGATGGTGGTGGAAGTCAACAGTTTCTGAACAAATGTGATTAAACCATGAAAATGGAGGCAGTAGTAATGACTGAAAAATAGATAACAAGCATGTCATGTAAAATCTTTTTGCTTCCATTGTTTGTGAACAGCATTATTAAAAATAAGAATTTTGTCTTGATGTAGGTCTTACACCAAAGGAAGAGAAGACCACATTTCGACCTGCGCTGTGCTGTGGGTCTGTCCTCACCTTCTGGTACGTGTACTGGATCTTCAGTCCCTTTTCTTTGGCCTCGTCCCTCAGCTCATTCAGCCACTGAAGGAACAGTGGGTTGGGGCACACAGGCAGGACGCGCTTCTTACCATAGCGGACCAGCTCTGGAGAAGACATAGTTCCTGAGGATGTGACCCCTGAAAGACAAACATTTTCACTCGGACAGAAAAAGGTCATCGTAATAAAACTCGACAAAACTATAATTTTATTAAATTGCACTAAAGTCAACTATTTAGATGGCGATTATTATATTGTAATAGCTTACTCATGAAATAGTCGTCTAAGATTCAGAAGTTAGAGGAAGATATTAAATAATAATGTAAAAACGTTTTCTCATTGATTGGATAAAGTACTAGTAATTAGTAAAAAGTGCAGTCTCACTTTTACCGTTTTACCCTTTTCCCCCAGTGAAAAAAAGGTTCTTCGGTCAACATCTCTGTCTTACATTACTTTAACCCTTAAATAAAATATTGAAGTCATTAGCTTCAAAGAGCTAACGTTAGCAGACTCCTCGTCTGTCTCATTAGTTTCCTAAAGCACCAACCGGAGACGTGGACGCATAAAACGACTTGTATAAATAGTTATACGGAAAAAATATAATATATATATTATTAGCTTATGATAATAATTTACCCCTTTTAGCCCGCAGTAGCTACTACCGCCGTGTTTTTAATCATACACATAACACTTCCGGTTGACGGTCAGGTTGCCGGAAACGAAAGCTGCACCAAACACTTTTCAGGTGTTTATAACAATATAAATAATACATTATTTAATGCATTATAGTAGTTCTTTAAAAGTCAAAGAAAAAACTTTTTTTTTATTCAAGTGAAAGAAATAAAAAAGTGCTTCAGAATTGTTTCTTCTTTCTTTGCAATATTTCATTATTTTGTTTTAAGTCAATTTTAAATAATTGTATTTTAGGTTTACATTATGCAAAAGTGAACAATAAATGTAGTAATGGTTCCAGTAAGGCTAAATGAATAACAGATATTAAATATTGATTTTCTTGATTCAATGCCCTTCAGTGTGTGACTAACTGATCTGTTTTTTTTCAGCTCTCAGACCCTAAAACCTCAGACCGTTATTTGGTTTCATCCCGAAGCTGATTCCACATATCCCCAGGCTGAAGGGAGTTTGCTGGAATCTTCTGACAAGACCGGACAGAGACCAAGAATTCAACCTCACCCTCTTCCCTCTCTGTCTTTTGCCGAAGAGCTCACACAGGAAAAGGTAAAAAAAAAAAGGAAAAAAGTGGTGTAATTACTGCACTACAGACATTTTTTCTTTTCCTCTTACACCACACTGAAAGAAGAGTGAAATGATTAAACTGACATTTACCTGGTTTACTAAAGAAAGTCTGCAGTATGACAAAAAGAACAAAAAGAAAATTACAAAAACCCAAACATAGCTAACATTACACTAAAGAGTTAAAAGCTGATCAGTGGAAAACCAAGCCAGCCATACCATAATCATTAGTCATTTTAAACATGAGCCAACTGCTAACCAATAGTTGGCCTAAGAGTAGCTAAAATATTACCAAAATGACTATGTTAACAAAGTAGAAACCTTAAGGTTAGCAGAAAGTAAAATATTATGAACAATTAGCTCCAGATAGATATATATAAATTTCTAGAAACAACTTTAATAATCCACTAATGTTAAGTTTTGTATCCATGTAAAACACTGAGACCGTTTCTAGATTTAGTTGAGTATCGGTTTATTATAGATATGCTGTGAACCATCATGTAAACACAGTCACTGTTTTATTAAAAGCCCAGTAACTTTGGACATTAATGTCCATTTGTGCATCATATATATTATTTAAATCCATTTCATAACATGTTTGGTACAAAAACCCAAATCTTTTTCTTTACAGAGAAGAAAAGCCCAAATGAAATATTCACAAGCAACAGAAAAATACCTTCAACATGTAACAATCCCAAGTATGCAATGATCCACCTCCTAATAAGTATATTCCAGAGGAGGCAGGAGTCACACTTGGCCTTGTTGTTGACATTATTTACAGTTTCATCCCACATCCACAGAGGTCATTATAAATACAAGAAAATACATATCTATACATATTTTAAACAAGTTCTAAAAATCTGTTTCAGTATAATCTGACTCCTTATTTATTTCTGTATTCTATGGTCCTAAT